TCCATTCTTTGCATTTTACAAAATCAAATTACAACTTACACCAGAGGAAGATAAATCATCTTAAAGCATAAATAAATTCATTATTCATTTAAATATATTTTAACTTTGTTTATTCGCTGCCATTTCTACCCCCTTCACACAATTGTGTGAAATGCATACTAAATTAGTTATCACATATAAGTTTGTAAATAAAGCTTCGAAGACTATACCAAATATATATATACCAAATTCCTACACTCTCCTATTCCTACAAAACTGTTGTGAAATCAACAAGTAGTAATGCACTACTATGTTCACTTACTACTTAGTACACTTAACTGTGCTAGGGTACACTTGCAATATCATGGGGTACTTACGTGGAGTGCCCCAGGAGTTTCACTACAGTGATCTTTATTCCATTTTCGTTCTGAACTGAAACTGCAGAAGTCAGTTTGTAGAAATACAACGAAAAATATTAGTATTAACAAACAATTTTTCCTATAGTGCATGTATATGTATTTATATATGTATTGGGTTGGTTGCTGAATGGCAGATCTACATCTTGTACCTGAAAATACTTTACAAATGCGGAAACGTCACAAGCACATAACTGAAATGTTAATTTAATTCCGACGTACCATTCCAATGCAACCGCTGGTGGACTGTAAGTGAGACGAGTTGAAATCAGGTTATGACGAGCGTTTCAGAGTATTCAAGGGGAAATGCATGTAAAGACAACACTGCCAACACTGCCGTTGTATTTCGTTGTGTGGTTGAACGCTTGGCGAAAATTGGACAAAGCATTTGTTGGTTATCTGATTCTCTTCTTCGCAGATAGCTGTTGTGGAGTTGCTTTGCTAACCTGAACTGAGAGAATCAATTGACGCGACTATGTAAAAAAGGATACACCAATTGTGATATTGATTTTCTGTTAACGGAGTTGCTTTTTTACAATATAATCTATTAGGTGTGGCTAATTATGCTAAGTTTCTCTTTATGAAAAATCCACAAATGTTTGTGTACTGAGCAATAAATCTCATATCCAATCTAACTACCATATTGAGCAAGTTAATTTGAACTTTCTTTTGACTTTACTCAATGACTCTAAGACCATGAAAGGATTTCGTGTTTTGGGATTTAGTTTTTTAAGTAAATGTGGTTATTCATGTTGAATCAAATATGAATATTCTGATAGTTTTAAACGAAATTCTGTGTTATAATATCAAAAACTGAAAGACAATTCATGAGTCGCAGGAAATGAGTTTCCTTTTGATTGAAAAGCAAATCTTCTTTAAATTACATTAAATCAAATTAAATAAAATTAAATTCTTTAAATGGCCCTTGGTGTAGTTAGAATTTTCTCAAATAAAGTAATAAAATATGTTTAAGAAAAAAATGTTTAAAGTGCTAGCTGTTGTGAAGTTTAAATTAAGTATAACTCTTATATTATTATATACTTATTATATTATATTATATACTATTATAACTCTTATACACACTCTGTCATTAAACATTATTATATTATTAAAATATTATTAAAATAAAAGCAGACTAGTTGTTTCTAAGTCAAAATGATAGATGTAACCTATCTCTAATCTGGACTAACTATTTTTAATGAAAAGGGTATTGCCTTAATATAAATTGGAGGTGTTGGAAAGATATTTCGGAAAGTGAGAGCTATAGTGAAGCGAAGCCTTTTGGCGAGAGTCAGACAGTGGCAGAGTAAATGAGCAATATTTCTCTATTTTTTTTTCAATAATTTTTAGTTTTAGTACAGCAGTTGTATTGGACAGCTTAAAGCGAATAAGACCAATTATGACATTTTTTTTAGAAAATATTACTTTCGTCACATTTAGAGAGGGAAGTGACACTGTCTCTCTGGCACATTAATTAATGCAAATCATCACATACATTATTTTGTATATATTCCATCATCCAAACCAATATTTTGAAAAGAATATAAAAATTTATTATCATTGGAAGTCATGTTCAAGTATATGAAAGCAATGGTTACTCACTATTTGTATGATCTGACATATGAAGTGAATTAAAATCATTTATCTGCTCTATTACTTACATTTTGACAATATGCGACACTTACATTGAAGTGTCCTAACCTATCACAAACAATGTGTTTCGATTCCCACAAACACAACCAATCCCTTGTTGGAATCCTTAAATATAATTTGTTCATTTAAAGTTGTGCACATATCAAAGTGGCCGTAAAGGGTGCTAATAGCTTGACATGCTGTTTTCCAAAAAGCTTTTGTAAGTCCTCTTTAATGTTATAATTAAACACATTGCAATGACTCAATAGACGTAAAATGTTATATTAATGGGACTTGGTTCGCTATGGTTGTTTCTTTGCAAATATATTTTACTACAACAAAACTACGTTTATTTAAAAAATTTCAGTTTCTCTATTACAAATTGGCAGTTGTTAATTAAGTCACGTATTTTACTAAATACACACTTTATTAGATGTCAAAAATTTGATGAGATACCTAATAAAATGAAAAAATTAAGGTCACATTAAAAAATAAATCTAATACTTTAAAGATGAATATTCAGCAAAAAAAAATTATTGAATTTCTTCAAAGTTCATACCAGTCCTTAAAGTTGGCATTTTATAGAATGATAATTGGCATTCCGAAATGTTGGTAACCAAATGAATTTTGCTGCGAAATAGATATCATTGAAACCCCATAAACCTCGAATATCACGATTTTTGTAGATAGTCAGGCCGCGCTGAAAGATATTGAATCCAAAACAGTTAAATCCAAGATTGTATCAAAATGTCGTACCTCACTGATGAGCATCAAACATCACAAGGTCTCTCTTTGCTGGGTTCCTGGACATAGCAATATTAAAGGGAATGAACTAGCAGATGAGATGGCTAGAACTGCATACAGGAAAGGCCGACCTCACAATACATACACCAATATGTGAACTGTTTAGGATGATAGAGGAAATCACCAACACGGTGACAAACAATTTATGGACTAACCGTGAAGACTGTGAGGTCACTAGAACCTTATGGCCAAGGTTGGACAAAAATAAAACTAAAAGCCTTTTAGGCTTCAGCAAACCTGCAGTTCACTGTGCCATTGCACCTATGCTCCAACGGTGGCGATTCCAACAAGTGGATTATGCAGGAGTTGTCAAAATGAAGAGGAGGTAGAATCTATCAACCACTTCCTATGTTTCCATCCAGGACTTCAGACAAAGTGACTTCAATGTCTCGGGGATCGCTTTACTGGCTTGGAAGAGATAACGAAATCAAACTTTTCGGATCTCCTCAACTTCATCTGAAAAACCAAATGGTTTAACAAGGATTATAAAGTCTAGCAACTCGCCTCTCCTGGCAAAATTTTTGAGGTCATCACAATAGGCAATATATGCCTCCGAGTGGAAGTGCTGACAACGGTCAGCACGCGCATTCCGAACCAAACCTAACCTTACCCTATAAAGCGTTTATTATATTCTATACCCTATATTCTCAATTAGCTTTGCTAGACTGTTTCTACGCAACCAAATCTTTTAATATTTGATGTTCATATTGACTATGCACGTTCAACATTTGACAGAATGAGCGAAATCTCTTCTGAGAAAATGAATAAGACATGACAATAGAATCATATACACAAAATAGATAATGATATTCCTATAACATTTTAAGTAAATAAAATTAAAAAAAAGATGCATATCATGATAACAAACTATTATCATTTACAATTTGAAAAACGAGCTTTGATATATATGTTATGGCATATACTTCATCAGCTTAATGAGACATCTTTGACACAAATACAACTTATTTTGTGTATGACAGTTTTTTAGAATGGCTCTGGAAAAGTGTTAAAAAATGTTCACAATCTACAATTTTAGTTATTTATTATTTTAGTTTTAGTTATTTAGTTGAAGCTTAGTACTTGATCAATATATGTAGATAATACTTGATGTACATATAATATATAGGGGACTTTCAAAACATTTTGCGCTCAACATAAAAGAAAACGATTTCAAATTTTTTGTTACCCTTAATTTTTCAATATCATAAACAGTCTTCTCGATACAAACTTTTCCCTATCATGCTCCAATATCCGTAACCCCTTTATAAACCCGTCCGACGTTTACAACTTTGGATCAATTGCAAAATAATGGGTACGATTGATAGCGTAAACAAAATTTAGTTTCCTATCCATTAAGGGTGTATATTATGCCCCAGTTATTTTAAGATAATCAGCAATGCGCTCTTGCCACGAAAAAAAACCGTAAAAATATTTTTCCTGGTATCAATGAAGTTTTTGACTTCTTCAAAACACTGTGATCTCCAGCTTGTCACTAACTTTAATGAATCTGTACAAAAATCCAACTTATTTGACTCAAACCACTCAACTAGAGGCTTATAAAAGATTGATCTATTTCATTTTGGATTGAATAACAGCAAACTCGGTATCAAAGCGCAATTGTTCATACTTTTCTGATTTATTTTACTTTCCTGGTTCATACTTTCATATAATCCTTTCCAAATACGGGTAATCAAAATGGCCGTTTTTCATTTTTCTTAATGTGTACCCAATACCATTTGATTGATAAGTCGCTATTTTCGACAATGTCGGCAGTATTTGCCTTTCCTAAACGTTCTTCCTAACTAAACTGACTGAGCGTAAGAGTTCCAGTGAACTTCGTTTTATATTTTTTAAATATAATATAAAAATTCGTTTTATATTTTTTAAATATAATATAAAAATTTTTTGTCTATTTTTCGGTTTCCATTGAGATTGGTTAATGAAAAAAATTAATAAATATAATTTCTTTAGCAAAAATAGCTTGTAAAACAGTATTTCTACCTTGAAGTGTATGTTCCATATGCGGTCTAAAACTTAAAATATATCCAACGTATGTTGAATTTTATTTTTATATACAACATTATTATTGAAAAAATACTTTTTTGTTGATATTCTTACACTAACTTTGTAAATATTAAAAAGTGATTTAAAATTCTTTTATGTTTACAGGTAGACTATTTATTCCCGAACGAGTAGTCGTCTACAATTACATCTTCCGAATGGAATGAAGGAAAAAATCTAGCAGTATTAAGTAAAAAATTCTCATGTAATCTAAACGTGACGATGTTGACCTCAAAAATGAATGAAGTCAATTGAAGGAAGTAAAGTTAGCCCAAAATTCGAAATTAACTATAACAAAGTAATCAAATATCATTATTAATTGGTAAGATATTTAAGATTTTGAGTCATTTGTATTTAAAAATGCCATAGAATTCTATTATGTTTTGTATTTTTTAAACTCTCTAGACTTTTCGACAAAGAAATTAATAAAATATTATTAAAAGAGAATACCTTTAAGTTTTGGTTGCGCTTTATTGAAAATGCATGAGCGACGAGTAAAAAAGTAAGTTATAATAATAAACGTCAATTTAATGGAGTGTAAGGTAACTCGAATGTTAATAACTATGATATTTATTTTAGAATAAAAAGTGGTCACTATGTAGCCACCCATGGTCGTCTTACACCTGATCCGCCATATGTGCACTCAAATCGGGGCTACTCCACTGATGGTGAGGAATCTCATCGTGCACCTTCAGAACGTACAATGTCCGAATATACGATAGCTCATGAGCGTTCTTCTCCCCATGGTCAACATTACAATTCCTCTCGTAAATCACGAGTAAATATTAGTCAACATACTAACAACACAAATTCACGCTCATTAATGGGATCTACGCCAATGCGTACATCTTCCGTTTTAAGCTACGATCATGGTGGTGATGCTGGTAGCGATATCTACGTAACTAGTGGTGCTTATAAAGCACCCTCGGAAATAAGGTACTTCAATTGTTATTAATCTCTTTACTTTAATATGTTTATATTATTTCTCTACAGTCGCTATAGTCATCGACCACATTCTCGTGGGGGACCACGTAGCGTATACTCTGTAGCTAGTACAGCAAAAACAGGTCGCAGCTCACGTTCGACCACAAAAAGAGGTGCCAAAATTGAAACAATGTCAGCACCAAACCCATTTTGCCCAAATATTAAAGGCGTTTGCTGTCTCATGCTACTTTTAAATTTGGGTCTTATATTAGTAACATTAGGATTCGTAATAGTAGTGCAGTTCTACGAGCCACTCTATGTTTGGTACGTTCTCATAAGTGCATTTTATTATTGAACTTAAGCAAATAAAAAATTTAAAATTATCTTTTTAGGGTGCTTGGTATAATATTTTTAGTTTTCGGCTTTCTCACACTAATTGGATGCATGGTTTATTGCGTTTATGTTTGTCATGACGCAAAAACCCCTTCCCAGATTAGAAATGAAGACCTGTATTGGACACGACATTGGCAAAAAAATATCGGCTACACCCCTCAAGAGATCAATTATAAAGCTGATAAGTATGATGCTTATTCAGACCGTTATTCAGTGAGTAAAATAAGTGGAAAATACTCGGACAGGGAAAGCAATCGGTATTGAAACTGATTAACAAATAGTCAATTGGAATTCAAAAGAACTTTGTGAAAATAAATGATCCATTTTTGATAACACTTTTCCTTAACCTATTAATTTTTAATTTAACGAGGGGACACATTTTTTGAAATTTAAGTTAAATTACAAAATTGAATAATTTACGTACCTGCTATTAGCAACTTGCTACCTTCAGCATCTAATTTTAATTGTTAGTTACCTACTTTATAACATAATTTAATAAATTTCAGTTAACCAATGCAGGAAATATATAATTCTATATTTTTTACGTTATAAGTTGCCATACTTTTCTAATATTCAATTCGAAGCACATATTTATTCGAGATATATAGTTTTCCAAAAATTCGTTTTTAGTTACAATATTTAAATATGAATAAATGAATTAATTAAATACTGATTACTTTCTGTTTGTTACATAGTTTTTGATGTTCAAACTCCTAATATTAATATTTATTAAATCAAATTAAAACCTAAAACTCCTAATTAATAATTTTTTTGTATATTTCTAATTGTAAATAATAATGTTGATATGATTGTTTAAGAAATAAAAATTTAATATTATGAAATAGTTAAGTTGTTTTACTTTTCTCCCACACTCATCTTCAACCTTATCTTCATCATCTTTGTAGATATCATCCTCATTCGTCACAATCTCGACCTTGTATTGTTTCACATTTTATTTCTTATCACCTTCTTTCATCCATCTATCCAACTTAAATCTAAGCGCAGTGAGTTTGAATCTTTGAATCCTTTGATACTATTCGAGACTTCAGACAATATGACTCTTTATTATTGAGTTTGTTTTATTTTGTTATGGAAATAATCATGCGCATGGCAGGTGTTCATTGTTATAGCGGAATATTTTACAAATGTGTCCAGCTTTTTGTAAACGCTAACGAAATCGATATCATTAAGCGTAACAAGAGTGAGATCACTGCGACCTTTTCTGATATAAAAAAGAAATTTGCGAAAATTGGCTTAGTGGTGAAAAAAAGCAAGAATTTTTTATATCTTGGCTCTGCCGTAACTAACAACGCAAATATCAGCCTGGAGATCAGACGAAGAATTACCATTGCTAACGAACTCAGTCAACAATTCGGATATAGAGCTCTCTCTCAACCAACATAACTGTATAAATCGGATTATTATGACTATTATAAGCAGTGAACTAAACTGTAAAGTACGAAACGTAGTGTACTGTTCCGTATTTTTGTTAAAAAAAACACTATACGAACAGTACACTAAAAAAAGTTCACATCACATCAAAAAATTTTTAATGTTTGTACAAACATTAAGATTCTAAGCTCTAACGATCTGGTAGGCAATGTATTTTAGCGTCTATCGACCAAAATTATTTGATTTTAACTGATATGTACTGTTATAATAAAAATAATATATTCCTATAATATATTCCTTACTCTTTTGGACTGTATTACATAAAATAAATTTCAATAATTTATTTTTTTATCTTTTATTGGTATTATAAATAAAAATCACCTATCTGCAATGAAATATTGTTTCTCTGCAGTACATCAACTGATATTAAATATGTATCAATAAATCCATGTACAATATCGGGCGTTTTCGGTGTCTCACAATTGTGGCAAAAAATGCATGCTGACTAAGCTAAGCTAAGCGAGACATTTTCATCAATGTTGCAATCTGTCAAGTGTTATGTTTTCGTAAATAGCAAATCTTTCATATGTGCACGTCATACAAACAAATTACATTTTTTATAAAAATAAATAATTAAAGTAAATTTATAATTAAAATGAATACTGAATTAAAAGGAATGGTAAAAATGTTGGAAATTGCAAAATAAAAGACTGAAATTTTTTATTTTTTCCGATTTTTAAATTTATGAAATTTTTGTATTTTATTTGAATTCTTGTTTACATATGATTTTAGACATACTATTGCAATACTCATTGGAATTTCCAATGAAGGTTCACAATAGTTCGCGTATTGTGTTGGTAACACTGCGGCCGAAGTGTTAGGAGAATATACCACTACTTGCTGTTTTGCATACTTTTCGGCCAGTATAGGCCAGCAACCTGCTGTTTTTTGCAATATTTGCGAGCCACCGAAAACGCCTATTGTTAAAAACAATAGCTTATTTTTTCTGCGAGTATCATTTTTAATAATTTTTTGCTTTGTCTATTGTGAATTATAATTTGTCACATTCACAATATTTTTTCAGCAAAGAAAATAATACTCCGGTAACACTGCTGGAGATTCATTGTTTTGTTTGAGTTGAATTAATTTTAGTTTAATGCTCAGCAATTGCAGTCTGCTTTTATTATTTATTTTATAACTTTGCTTTCAACATAATGCCAAATTTTGTGATAACCATAAACGTATTAACATTGAATATATGGTGAGCTTATAAAACAACTTTTTTACTTTAAAATTACGATGTATTTCTAGGGGTATACCGATTATATCAAGTGATAGAGAAACTAGAGTATATGGGATTTGTGATGAATTAAGTTCAGGTAAATATGATATCGTATCACTACAGGAAGTTTGGTCAAAATCAGACTCTGAACTGATTGTGCAGCGAACAAAAACTGTTCTTCCATATGCTCATTACTTTTATAGGTGAACATTTGTATATATATTATTTTCTAATTTATGTTAAAATTAATTTTATATAGTGGTGTTATGGGAGCGGGGTTACTTGTTCTTTCGAAACATCCAATTGTTTCTGCCTTTTTTCACGCTTGGTCTGTTAACGGGTACTTCCATCGCATACAGCATGCAGATTGGTTTGGTGGGAAAGGAGTTGGACTGTGCAAAATAAAGATTGGAGGTCACGTGATTCATCTCTATAATGCACATGTAGGTTTACATAAATATAAATTAAAATATCTATATGCTCTGGTTTTAGTTACATGCTGAATATGATAGTATAAATGACGATTATAAAACTCATCGCGTCATACAAGCTTTTGATACCGCACAATTTATTGAAGCAACGCGCGGAAATTCAATTCTGCAAATACTAGCGGGTGATTTAAATACACAACCTCAAGACATATCATACAAGTTTGTACAATTATTTTTATTAAATAATATCATCTATAATTTTTTAATATTTTAGTGTTCTCTTACAAATATCCAATATGTTCGATAGTTGTTCTTCGGATACTGTAGCTACTAATGAATGCAATCGGAATTCTTATACATCCAAACATTCTCTTGCTCATAATCCCCTTGGAATTCGAATTGATCATATATTTGTACGCAGTGCTGAGCGAGTGGAAACAACGGTTTTAGAGTACGGTTTAGCTTTTCCAGATCGTGTACCAGGTCATAAATTCAGCTTCTCAGATCATGAAGCTATATCGACGAAATTGCAAATTAATTTACGAAATAATGCTATGGACTTCGATAGCAACACGAAAAATTGTTACAATACTGATATTAGTACAACACATTTAAATATACAAAAAATATATACCAAACCAATATGCAGTGAAGCAATATCCAAACGTATTTCTCTGCTACAAGAGTCCATAGAATTGTGTTCGACATCACTGAAACATTTAAAAACAGATCGTATATATTATTACTTAGGTGCATTTATACTAACTTTTATTTTAGTGGGAATAGTTGAATTTTTTGTGCCAAGTAAAATAATGTATTTATGGATAAAATTCCTATTCTTTGGTGCAATCTTGTTTTGCACATTTATGGGTTCTATTTGGAATGAAATTGAGCGAAATGGTGTATTGTCAGGTAAGACAGCAATGGAAATAATGCTACGTGATATAACTCAGCCTGTGGAATAATAAATTATCAACATTTATTTGTTAAAAAAAGCTCAATAACTTTTAAAATCATATGAAATATATGAGAAATATATTGTATCACATCATTTACATGTTAATAAAATTGAAATTTTGTTCTAATAAGGTATTCTCACAAATTGTTGTAGGCCTTGATAATGCGAATTCCTTAAGTGGCAATCAAATAAAAATTGGATGCACATCAACAAAAAAAAAAAATAAGGAATTATGTGTTAACGAACTGATTTTCAATAAAAAAGTATTCAAGTAATTTATATTACAGTCATATTACAAAAACAAAGTATTTTATTTAATTGCTAAACGTAGTTTAGCAATTTTAGCTTTAAATAGTTTTGTTCCGAATAAAACTGTAGAAAATACTTTAAACAAATCCAATTCATTGGTAGTTATTTGTTTCTATATTTGAGAACAATTACTTTAAATAATAATTTAATGGACATTTTTTTTAGAATTATGTCAATAAAGGAAGCGAAAGCTTTCAAAGAAATGAAAATCTGAACAATTTGTTTATTCTTTGACAAAACTAGTCGCGGACCTTGTATGGTGAAAAAATGTATTTTCACCACATTTAATAAAAATTGACGCTTGTCCTTAATAGATGTTCTTTGGTTTTCCATATGAAGTATTGTTAGAGGTACAGAACGCGAAGCGTAGTGTATATTTTTATTTTATCAATAATAGACGAATGTGCTATTTGTCGTTATATTATTAATACAAAGAAAGTGAAATTTATTAGGAGTGGCAGTTAATTTTGTAATAAATATTTAAAGTGCTCCTGTGCTCAAAAACTAATAATATGGCTGGAATTAATTTAGATTTTGTGCGTGAAGATGACTATATTGAATACTTTGTGTATCCTCAATTACCCGAAACTGTCGTTAACTCTGCTGAAAATAGTGCAGCAGTTACTGAGGTTGAAAACTTTATGCAAGATTTTTTAAAGAAATGTAAAATTATCACAGAAAAGATTATAACCACACGGGAATATATATGGCATAAAGACGATTTTCAGCTGCATGTGCGAACAGGGAGTGAGCAAGAAAATCTATTAAATAATGAAAGAAAGCAAGATTTGGGTGTGTTTCCTTAGCTATAGAAATAAACATTTATATCAAATTTATTGTTTATTTATTGTTTCAGAGTTGTTACCACCGCATTTACATGGTGTTACTCATTATGGCGATAACATCGCGGACGAGTGGTTCATTGTCTTTGTCCTATATGAATTAACGCGTGAAATTGCTGATTGCATTGTTCGCGTTACTGACTCTGATGGGGAATTTCTTTTAATTGAAGCTGCCGATGCGTTACCAAGGTGGGCGAATCCTGACACTTGTGAACAAAGGGTTAGTGTGTAAGTTTTTTGATTGGAAATAAATTTTAATTTAAAAAAAAAATTCTATAGGTTTACATTGCAAATGGTAACATAAAATTGGTGCAAAATTCACCATCTAATTCTGCAAAAATATTACCTGTGGAAAAGGCTTTATCGAAAATACGTCTGAATCCAAATCTTTATTGTGTATCAAAAGAAATAGAAGATTGCATTAATGAAAGATTGAAAGAATTTGTAGATTTATCTTCCACATATCATCATCAAATTGTTCGTCTACCTGTAGGTGTTGCAGCAATATTGAAAGTTAAGCCAAGCTTAATTGCATCATCTGTTCGAGCATTTTGCGAACGTGATAGTATCGATATGAGAGCATGTCGATCAATGCTATTTTTTCCTCCCGAACAAAGGGTACGAGTTAACGTACGATTTACCCGTTGCCTATACGCTATGATACTGCAAGCCAATTACGTACCTGACCGTAAAATTGGTTGGAATCTTAGTAATTCAACTAACACGGAGGAATATAAAGAAGATTTACTTGGTGTTAAGATTGCTTGCGGATTCGAAATACTAACGTCACAAACAAAGAATGCTAAAAGTGAGGAAAATGATCAAAATTGGCTTGATTACAGAAAAAGTTTAACTTCAAAAGGATATTTTCGGAACAATATAGAAGGTTCAGCGGAATATATTCGTTTATTGAATACGGCACGTGAGTTTTTTAATGAAAACAATGGACGATTTCGTACAAACGCATTTGTTGGAAATGAAATAATCGATATATTAAAAAGTGCCGATATTAACGTCGACCAATTCAGAGATGAAGAAAACAATTTAAAGGTAAGAACAAACTGAAATATTGTTGCACTAAAAGTCATTCATATTAGTATATGATTTAGCCCAGCGATTGTGATGATTGGTTAAATATTAATGCTGAGCAGTTAGATGCAATGCTTCAAGAACGATATGGTCCAAGAAAATTATATAAACCAGATGGTGATATAGATGCTGCAGAATTTACTAAAAATATAACAGACTTTCTAGAAAAACAATCACAGATTGAGGGAATTGAAAATGATCCCGAAGAGGTGAAGCGTGACAAAGACGAAATAAAAGATAAATTGAAAAAAAATCACTCAATGCGCCGAGCGTGTAAGCAAAATTCAGTTATTACAGAACCGAAACAAAAAAGCACCAATAATGATAAACTTGACGATGAAAGTAGTTTTTCTACACACGTCCGAAACTTTTTGGATTTTGTGATACCAGAAGATAATTGGGACTCTAACTCTGAAATGAGTGATTATGAAGATGATGATGATTTAGAGCGAAATATTGAATCTATGACTAATACAGAAATGAACATAGATACTGATATTAAAACATATATGGCGCAAATGGATAAAGAACTCTCTAAAACTACTATTGGTCAAACATATGACACAAGTAAGGAAAGAAAGATGGCAAATGGAAGTGAAGATGATTTTGATGATATTGAGTCTTTCAATCCTGTAAATATTAACGTTAATGTTCTTAAAAATATGATGGATAGTTATAAATTACAAGTTGGTGGTCCTGGTCCAGTATCAAATTTAATGCGTGCCATGGGCGCTGGTATGTCAGTAGGAGTTAATGAAAATGATGAAACGAATAATCTTACAGAGTCTACAGTTTAATACAATTTCTTTATGGTCTGATCTTATTAAACCACATTCATTCAGCACTTCAATTTAGTTTTTTTATTTAATTTATAAAACGAATTTAAATAAAGTTTTATTCATAACACCCTTTTTATTACTTCTAGATACTGAAAAGATTAAAAATCAATCTAATAACCGATGTAAAAATTAGTAATATCGGTTGTGTGTTTATATACCATATATATATATTTAATCCTTTAACTCCTAGGAGGAGCATAGGGCCGCGGTTGTGTGTATAAGTTTGTGATATTTTATTCTTGATTTATTTTTTTGACGCTGGAACAAAATTACTATAATCTCGTGGTATAAGTCGAACTTCGGCAGGTGTTGTATTTCTTCCATTTCTTTCATAGTTGCGTCTTCTATCTCCTTGATATGGGGAGTTGTGGTATCTATTATTATAGCGCCTTTGGTGACTTGGTCTCCTTCCATTCCCTCCACCGCCTCGATTAAAATAACCAGGTCCATTATTATTGTTGCCCCAATTTTCTAAAATTGGAGGTATTACATTTTTGTGATTATTACAATGGTTTACAAATTCTTCGTCTTCCTCAGTGAACCGATTGGCGAATTTTTCTTCGCATTCATCTAAGAACTCGATATCTCTTTCAGTTAATCGGTTGATTTTTCGGTTTGGATCAACCATTGTTTAACGAAGTAAGAAAATAACACAAAGCAATGTAAAATAGCAAATAAAGTTAAATTAATTTTAAGAATTCCAATTCTCTTCTTGAGATATCAAGGACAAAATGACTAAAAACGACCACTTCAACGTCAAAACAAAAATCAAGTAAACCTCGTCAAGATATTCTTTGACAAAATTATTATTCCAAATTCACAATAGGTGTTCACAATCAAGTTAGTTAATACAACAGCAACTGCGTCTAGCGGCTTATGCATACGTCATAAAAAGTATTAATTGAATTTCTGATTTTTTTCCTTCAATTTATTGCGTACAAAATCATTTTGAAATTACAATCTGAGTTAATACTAAAAACCGATAGTAAAATTTACAATTCAATCTTAATGTATACAAAAATAAATTAGTATAATTTTTGTAATAAAGAACAGAATTATTTTAATATATAAACCGGAAAAGATTAAATTTTCTTCGATATGAAAAAATGTATAACCTATATATTATGAAATTTTAACTGCAATCTTATATACAAAAATTTGATCACCAAATTAACCACGGAATTGTAATTTGTATAAAATTTAGTTTTTATTAAATTCGTAATTCACAATAGAGCCATGAAACGATATTTTGAGTAATTTCATATACCAAAAGAAATATAACAAAATATGCTGCAAAAATTGGTATTTTTATTTGCTGGTGCAACTATAGAAATAATATAAAAATTGAAATTGAAAATCAACACTGATTGCCTGTGCGAATATGTTTTTAGTTAAAAGCTAACTGAACGAGAATATATACACAGCTGAAACAATCCACTGTTACGGCCCTCTAACAATTTGGCAAAGTTTTCACCCATAATTGTCATATTGCAATTTTTTTAAAGCAATATTTACTAAATTTTTTAAACCATTTGCCATTTTGTGGTGCAAGGTAACTAAACCCTACGTGCTTATCGTGATAAATCGAAATTAAGTTAAAGACTATAATCTGTTTAGATCAATTACTGAACAAAAAATTGAACTCTCCATTATTTAATAATTTGTTATATTGTACATATTAAATAAATATGTAATAAATTTCTCCAGTTATGTTCATCATTCTGTACGTGCAAGTAAATTCGTTAATGGTATATTACTGAAATGTTTATTCACAATAGTTGCTGTTATAGCCGTACACAGAGAATACGGTAGAATATTCTTTGTCAAAGAATTTTTTTTAATGCTACGGGCAAGTGTCTCGCATTGTCCTAATTCTGGATAACTCATGTTAAATGTGAGAGTTTTATTTATTGAATTGGCGATATAATTTCTCCTACACGTTGAGGGAACGGTGCGGTGCATTAATTAAAATTGTAGCAACTAAGCAATAACATATCTACGTAATCAACTATGCAAAAATAAAATTGGTGCTATGAAAAAAATGTGAGCTGCATTGTGCAAATTATAATGTATATTCAGCACATTTGTTATAATAAATGATAATAGAAATTATACTTGACATGTCTTTTCTGCTACAAGAAACTGTGGTTTGTTCGATCTCAAAACTACGCAGATACCAATATAACCAGCTGCATCTCTTCATTTCTAGACATGTCTGATAATCTAGTATGGCGCTGGATGCTTCGATACAAATTATTTTTTTTCATTGGCGTCATTATACTTGGTGTGCAAGTGTATTTGGCTTACAAGTCCTTAGGAATAGATGGCACTGGCTACATCGAAAAAGTGTTTAAAAGTAAAGCTCAAACCAACGAACGTGTTTATCGTATTATTTCGAATCAGAACTCTGATACAAATAAGGATAATAAACTTAATTATGGACAAAAACAACAACAAAATTTATCACCAACTAAGCCAACACATAATATTTTTGTAGAGACAGACACGAATTTTATTCCAAAATGTGAAATCCTAGCTAAAGAAGCAATATCAGCGTTACAACGAGCTAAAACACAGAAGTGTCGTCAACAAATTGCAGATATTGCTTGTAATATACAAAACGGAGAATTCTATCCCAAACAGCTACCAAATTACTGTCCGTCAGGTAATCATACAGCTAATACTGCTATCGGCTGCTACCGCGATGAGAAAGAAGTTCGCTTACTTCCAGACTATTTTATAAATTTAAAAACATCGAACTCTCCAACGCATTGTGTTCAGATATGTGTGCAATCAGGATTTCCTTATGCAGGCGTACAGTACGGCAGTGAATGTTTTTGTGGCGTAGAGGCGCCACCCACTGGTGCCAAGCTAGCGGACTCAAGCTGTAATATGAAGTGTACGGGAGATTCAAAAGATATATGTGGCGGGTACTTTAGCATGAACGTTTATGAAACTGGTATTGCAAGTAAGCAAAAGATATATTAAAATTTATTAAAGTAGTTTAATATCAATTTTCTAATAAAATCTATGTACAGAGTTTACACCTAAAGTAGCAGAGACAAGTGCTAAACCTGACATTGGTCAAGTAAAAATAGCATTTTTGCTTACATTGAATGGCCGCGCGCTGCGACAAGTTCATCGGCTAATTAAAGCATTGTATTCGCCAAATCATATATATTACATTCATGTTGATGTGGTGAGTTATGTTCTGCTTTGATTGTTAAAAGAATGAAGTCAATTTAATTGTCGTTAATTACTTTTTTATTGAAATAATTTGCAGTGTTAATTAAGATTTTGAATTTGCAATGCAGATAAACGTATACTTTTGTTAAACTAAATATTATATATTTGTATTCTTATTACCAGCGCCAGGATTACTTGTATCGAAACCTTTTAGAGCTGGAAAAAAAGTTTCCGAATATACGGTTGACTCGAACACGATTTTCTACAATCTGGGGCGGGGCTTCACTTTTAAGCATGTTGTTACAATGCATGAAGGACTTGTTAGCATTAAACTTGCAATGGGATTTCGTTATAAATTTAAGTGAAAGTGATTTTCCAGTAAAAACCATCGATAAACTTGTGAACTTTCTAACGGCAAATAAAGGGCGAAACTTTGTGAAAAGTCATGGACGTGAAACACAACGTTTTATTCAAAAGCAAGGTTTAGACAAGACTTTTGTTGAATGTGAAACACATATGTGGCGAATTGGAGATCGTCAGTTACCAGCAGGAATACAAGTAGACGGAGGCAGCGATTGGGTAGCGTTATCGCGAAAGTTTGTACATTATGTGGTGACACAGGCTGAGACAGATGAGTTGCTGAAAGGCTTGCTTATTATATTTCGGCGTACTTTATTGCCAGCAGAATCGTTTTTTCATACCGTGTTACGCAATTCGCAGTTCTGTGATACCTATATAGATAATAATTTGCATGTAACAAATTGGAAACGAAAACTTGGGTGTAAATGCCAATATAAACATGTTGTTGATTGGTGTGGTTGTAGTCCTAATGACTTTAAACTTACAGATTGGGGTCGATTGCAAGGCACAGAACATAAAATGCTTTTCTTTGCTCGAAAATTTGAACCAATTGTAAGTCAGGCGATTATATTGCAACTGGAAGAGTGGTTGTTTGGGCCTTACACAAGTGAGTTTGTGAATTTACACTCTTATTGGCAAAATTTTTTTAGTTCAGAAGATAAACCAACTTCCAGTGACAACCTTTTACTTACAATTGGTGAAAGTCTAATTCGGCTATTAAGTCGACAGTTGCAGCTCAGTACTGGAAAATTATTGGAACTTAATCATTACATGGATCAAGAGCAATATAATGGATTCTTGTTGCAATGGCAAGTTTCACACGAAAACTATAGTGCGTTGACTTTTGAGTCTCGTATTCGACCTGTTCAATACGTCAAATTTGCAAAAAACTTAAAATTTGCTAGAAGAATTCGAAATTTTGAAGTCTCTTCGGATTTTGATCAAAAAGAACAACTTTCACGAAATTTTGCTAAATTTCTGGGTCCTTATAGTGAACCTGTACTAAGTTTTACTGTTTTAGGCACAGGTGGCCAAACACATAACGACGTTGCCCATTCTTATAATTTAACTTTACTTTGGATCGATCCTACAGGGCAATTGCAAGATTTTGAAGAGATACATATTGAAGATCCTAAAACAGATGCCATACATTTTTCCAAAGCTTTAGTTAAACAACCATTAACACCAGGAGTTTGGACTATTAAACTTGTAGGTCGTTCTGCTATATATGCTGAAACAAAATTTTTAATATCGCCCTTAGCTTTGGAAGGTGGAAAACCCATTACGGAGCAACGAGCTAAAAATATAAATGCTGGTTCAGAACCATCTCTACCAGCTGATTTCATTCTTCCTACAGAATGGAAATCATTTATACTTTCTACAATGGATGTAAAAAATTTTCAAAAATTATCGAAAACCAACGCACTTAGAACCGGAGTCGATCTGTATAACTGGATCGATGAACTGGTTAGTAAGTTTTACAATATACAAGAGATGTGTATTGTTTCAGAAGCGACAATTTTTTCGGATCTACAATTATGCCGCGAATCATCGTGGAGCTCATTAGCACCTGATCCGAAAAGTGACATTAACGTATTGCTCAAGCGTAGATAAGGTTATGACTACATTGTAGAAATGGTTTAAGTATTAACATCTTGTCAAAGTATAATACAATATTATTTAATAAAAAAAAAATAATTTTAGTTACAAAACGCATATACCAATTTGTGTTCCGATGATATTCGAAATTCGAAAGTTATGAATACAACAAATTATTGATTAATAGTCATGCTTAATAAACCAAAACAAAAGAAACTGTGGCATTTCAAATTGTTAGATTTTTTTTTATGTTTAAATTAAAATATGTGATAAAACTGAAAATAAATTCTATAAATTTGTATACACAATACAATCTATTTGCACCTTGTCAAAGATATATTATTGTAAATTGTCCATTTTTGAAAATTGTAAAAACGTATAAGTTAAGAACATAGGTAATGTGAAATTTTTGTAGGATATAATCGAGTTTGTAAATATTATTAAAATCTTAATAGATTCTATTTTAATCTAACTAAAATAAGTTTTTATAACAATTTTAATAAATTTGTTAAAACCAAAAAAAAAATTAGTTTTGATTTTGAGATCAAGTTGATGAAAATATCAAGACTTCAGCACTTTTTTTTATTATTTGTGTTCGTTCTAAATGAGACTAGCATTTTATAATATGAAAAAGCAGCTTCATCAAGGCAGCTTGAAAATTTTGGCAAATTTGCTGCTTGTATACTACACTTTTTTATATATTATTTTTTAAGTAGTTTTCAATATTATTTCCTTAAAATTATTTTTGTTTTTTAAACTAAGTAAGGTTTATGCGAAAAATTTAAAAGTATATAAATTTTTTAAGAGTAGATTTTAGTTTTTTAATTACTTTGTATTGCATTTATATAGTCTCCGTTTGGAGTCTTTTTTTGACTTTACCTCATGGCGGATTACTACAATTCCACAATTTCTAATCTTAATATTGCCGTAAATTATTTTGACAATGATTGTTATTGGATTCAACTTCGCCATTTGATTTATTTCAAGCGAGGAAATTTGATGAAATCTTTATTTCAAATATAATAAATCGAATTTATGAATAAAACAAAATGCCTTTTGATATATTTAAATTAGGTGCAAATACTGGTATAATAAGCTAAGCTGTTAAAATGTTTTTGCTAAGCTTATATTAAACAAAGATACGCTTAGTTTTATTATTTCTTATAAAATATATTTAAAGTCTTTTCAGGTATTCAAGTTTATGGTTCGCTTTGCAATTAAGGAAAAATTATTATACTGACAAGTCTTCGTCTGGATCTTCTTCATCGAAATCATCGCCAGAGTCAGGCGTGTAAATGATATTTGCTGTGTCTGCGACAGTTCTATTGAAATATGAACCTTATTAATATTAACAACCTGGAGACATGTAAATACTTTGCTACTTACTTTTCATAAGGCATTTTAATAGAATTTCGTGCAACCAATTCTTCTTCATCTAACTCGATTTTAAAAGTACCAAGATTTTCAGATGGTGTAGTTATAGCTTTATCTGGCTTTCTCTTAGTAGTTTGAGTGGCTTCAACTAAGAACTTATCTACTGACAACTTGTATTTATAATGATTGCGGGTAACACCGCCTCCAGGTTTGCGAACAATAATAGTCAGCATGTCGTCGCTTTCAATGCTCAAAACCATATCAGCCATGTACTCGCAAGCAGAAAGGATATACCGCGCATTGGGCAAACAAGGTATTGAAGCCCATAAGAATACGCGTCTAACATATTTACAGGTCCGCAATTTGTGCATAAATTGAAAGACAATTGCGGGCCGCAGGTAACAGAGTAAAGTCGACAGTGGCGGCAATATTATATTATACTTCGTGTTGTTATTATTTTGGCACTCGTTTATTAAAGCATTAAGTGTCTCATCTTCTTTACGTTTTTTGAATAAACTAAACGTTTTGATAGTTGTGTCGTCCTGTCCTTGCTCTTTTAATAATTGAGTGATGAATTTGTATGAAATTTTTTCTTGGCCCAATTTATCTAAGCGCAAAAATATATTAACAATATTTATTTAATTAGTATAATAACCGTATTTTAAAACCAACCAATTATGAGTACGACTCGTTGATTAGTGATAATCAAATTGGAGAGCATTTCAGTTTTATATATAGGTAAACTTTTGTAAAATAAATTTATCAATTATTTGTTTGCTGTAACACGTTATAATATTTTAGAAGGTGCACAGCTGTTCCTGTTTACTGTTCTTATAGGGTGCTTGAAATTATTTTAAACTGTAGTTATGGATGTGAGCTGTCGAACGTTGTGCCCTGTGGATATGTGTCTTATCTATAATTCAATGTTTTTTGTTAGTTAACAGATAAAGACTTGCAAAGAGTGATTCGCCATCATAATTTCTATTAGTTTTATCGACACTTGCACACGTGGTTGCCACATTGGAATACTTAAAGTCAGCATTTCTTTAAATGAAGTCAACGAGTGGACAACTGTACAGTTTTGTGACTCATTTATCTTAACAATTTGTGTATGGAAAACGCTACACTAAATACTGCGCAATTAATAAAATTATTACAAAAAGTACGATAATAATGTGTTCACACTTTACGATTATCGATCAGGAATTTATACAATTAGTAAAATTATTGGAAGACAAAATGAAAGTCAAATATCATAAACTATCTTACACTCTATTCCTCACAATAATTTCGCGCAAAAGTTATGAAGGTTTCTTGATGATTTTGCATCAGTTCGAAGAGAAAGCAAACTAGTATTCTGGTAGGATCGTCTCTTAATCTTATGAAGACTACGGTACAATATGCATGTTTTGATGCATTAGAAAAAGCTGTAGTCATATGAGTAGAGGATACTATGTTATCGAATGCATGGTGAGATATGTTCTGTCTAATGGTGTGAAGTAAAGATGTAAGTTCTGAGCCTCAGCCTATTTTTTATTTTCATAACTTTAAGAATATTTGATATTGACAGATGTTATTAACACGAAAAATACTAAATAATTAAATAAGTAACTCTTCTAATTTACATAACGTTTTGTCTGAAGTCCTGCATCTCCTGTTCCATCTCCTGTTCATCAAGAAAATTCTAGCACAGTTAAGAGCAATTTTTGAATCTTCTGGATTGGTTGCATTCATTGGTGTATGACTATTTACAAAAATAGTGATATTTGAAGATCGAATGATACTAATTTGTATTAATCTAGCTGTACTAGCTGCCTAGCTGTGTTTGCTTTGTTCCATTAGCCTGGCAATGGTGTTGACCATTTTTTGAAGAGCACTATTAATCGACATATCATTAACTTTTTAAGGCAAACTTATCTTTAATTATAACAACTGTAATGTCAGCCCAAAGAACTGTAGTCAAGAGTTCCTATTTGCAATAGCCGGTGTTCGACGGAGATGTTTGTTTAACTCGTAGCTTATTCAGGTTTAACTGAAAATACTTTATGAATATATAATATCTGTTATATGATCTACTCATTTAATAATATAAGCATTCTCTTGACCTACTCTGACTTTTGCCAGTGACAGCGCTGTAAACAGCGGTGTTGTCTGTAGAAGTTAGCTTACTAAGCCTATTAGAACAACTAAGCTCTGAATACTGAGTATCTAAAAACTGCCGCCGTCAGGTCTGCTTTGCTATATGAAGTTAAAGGGAAAATATTAATATTTTAATTTACATCAACACTGGTTCAAATCTTCCATCGTAACTGTGGACTGTAGAAATGAAAAATAGTCTTAAGTTTAAGTCAAAGGATTAGTTATAGTTGCTCTATATTTTAGTCAGAATTGTTGATGCAGGTTGAAGCTTTCTTAGAATTGAGATCAGGAAAATCTTCATCGAAATCGTTTAATAATGCTTATGATGTAGTCAAAGACTAAAATGTGCGGGGGCAGGCAATATTTATTTACTTTTAAATATTGTCAAGTGCGAATCTGTGAGGTTTATACGATTGAAAAGCGTCTAGTATTTGATACATGAACTTATATGGATGTGAATATGTTGAGTTGGAAAAACAAAAGGGTGTTAATATTGAATGCATCAGTAAAATATTATATATAATAAAATATTTGATAATAATATGTCATTTTGTCTCTTTATCTAATTTCAACATTTGAGGATATAAAGAGATTAGGTTTTTTAATACGATTTTTTTTATAAATTTCAGAATAGCTCAGAATAGAATAACTTTTTTAAACCACTTTTCTTTGCAATGAATGTTGAGTGAACATTTTAGCATTTTTCAAAGTGAAAACTGATGGTGTAATGCAGTTTATATATATGTATATAATAATATTATATAATAATATTATATTATATATATATATATATATATAATAATGAAAACTTATGTAGTTTAATATAGTTTATAAATATATATATATTAAATAAATTATATTGAATTATGAATAAAATATATTATCATTAAATAAATGTTTCTAAATAAATGTATTCTAATAAAAACTGTAAATTATTACACTTTAATAAGCTTTTTTAAAACTAAAATATAAAATGAAATAAACTAAAGTGCAGTGAATACGATTTATGTACATAAATTCTTTTACGTTTACAATGAAATTGATATGTTCAACCGCAAAAGCACACACTTTTAGATTTAATGGAGTGTGCAAAAATGCTTCTTGTAGTTTGTAACTTGATATTGGTCTTTATATATATTTATTTGTCTTTCTTATATATAAAAACATTTACACTTTTATTGTTGTGGGAACGTAAAATTGTACGTAAATATAGTCGAGATGTGAGATCAAAATACTATATTGACTATTTTTGATTTGTTGAATGAAATATATCAAACATAATATGTATATGCTATTATTATTATTTTACTATTTATTATTAATGCATTTATTATTTTTGAATGAATTCAGATATTTTTTGTAAATGCTTTTTCTATTGTGGAAATATGCGCAAGAGAATCGTACTTTCCAAATAAATATTCAACTATTGAGCAAAATATTTATACTCAGTGATTCAACAGTTGTTTTTTACGAGGTGTTTGTGCTTTACGTGGTTCAAAACAACTCAAATAAGTATTTCATTATCTGCTTTGAGTGAGTTTTAAGCGCTGTGTGTGATGCGGCTGTGGCGGTGTATTTCGTTTACAATTTTGCTTTTGTTTTCAGTGTTAAAATTTCAGTTTTCTTTCGTTTTACTAGTTAAGTTTATTTTCACCTGTTAAATATTGTTTGAAAAATAGTAAAATTTGAATTTATTAATATTTCAGCTATATTGCAACAACAAAAGGTATTTTCAAAGTTATTTTCACATTTTCGCCGCTAATCACCTACAAATTTTTCCCGTAAACATTTTCCCATATGCTTTTGTACATGACATTTTTTTCTTAGTTTAAAGCTTTGTGTTGGTTTAAGAGTGTAGAGAGCATGCCTCCGATAAGAGTAAGACAGAAATAAGAAAGTTAAGATTCAAAAGCTGTGTAATCTGAAAAAGCTTTTACTTGTTGACAGGAATATATTATGGCCTAAGTTCGTATTAGTGAACATCCTGCAGTCGATTTAAAGTCGTCTGGTTATTCGAATGTTGATATCTAGAGATGCTATTGTATAAGTATCTACAATTGCAGTGTAAACGTTAGTTTGAATTTTATTATATGTTCTAAGTAAAATGTTATTTTCAAACGATGCAGTGATTTCATAAAGAAACTCAACATTACACGCATTCCAACTTTAAAGCAACGACCAGATACAACCAGTTCATCAGAAAAATCTGCAAAAATGAAGCTTCCTGCATTTTTTGTTGGCAAGTTTTAAAATTAAAAAATTTTTTATTTGTAATTTAATTGATTCGAGAAAAAATCATTAAAAAATATTATTTTCTGAAGACATATGTCAAATGAAAATTTTCTTATCTATACCGCAATATGGTGCGTGGGTTGCATGTTAAGTTGAAGTTCTTCGTTTTAATCTGTGGGTAGTGCGAAGCTTTTTGCAGCGGAGAAGCATGCAAGCATGCAAATACACGCAAAACAAATTGGGAGTGATTAGTAATTTATGGCAAAAATAATAAATTCTATAAGATGTCGCAGTTCGCTCTTATACACTTTAGAGCTTTTGTTGAAGTATACAATCAATAGGTACACAACAACAATTTGTATTAGCCAGTGAACACAATCCACAACTTCCTGATATCATATAATTTGTTATTATGATTTTAACAGAAATCAATACAATTCTGTTAACACAAGTAAGATCAGAGCATGTATTTTGAATTGATGTTTATATGACGTCTTCACTAGACAAAGCAAATTGTTGTCAATTTTTACTGCCTTCAGCAGATCACTTTTTTGTAAAAACTCATGAATGGAAGAAAATGTTTGCTTATTTACTTGAAGAAAACAAGTATTGTAACAAAAAATTATTGTTACATATGTACATATGCATATATTCTTTACATATTTATATATATTGATTGTTAAAATAATTTTAAATATTAGAAGCAACGATAATTTATGCATTGACACATTAAATGAATTAAACTGCCTTGAATAAAATTTGGTACACTATTTCTATGATATGTTTTATTGAAAAATATGTTATAGTAATATTCCAGTTAATTTATTTATTTTTAATATGTTTTAATATATCAATTTTAATAGTTATATTATAATATTATAAAATATGTACTATAATATGCTTAAAATTAATAACTATTAATAAAAATATTAATATTAAAATAGTTATACTATAACATATTTTTCAATAAAACATATCATAGAAATAGTGTACCAAATTTTATTCAAGGCAGTTTAATTCATTTAATGTGTCAATGCATAAATTATCGTTGCTTCTAATATTTAAAATTATTTTAACAATCAATATATATAAATATGTAAAGAATATATGCATATGTACATATGTAACAATAATTTTTTGTTACAATACTTGTTTTCTTCAAGTAAATAAGCAAACATTTTCTTCCATTCATGAGTTTTTACAAAAAAGTGATCTGCTGAAGGCAGTAAAAATTGACAACAATTTGCTTTGTCTAGTGAAGACGTCATATAAACATCAATTCAAAATACATGCTCTGATCTTACTTGTGTTAACAGAATTGTATTGATTTCTGTTAAAATCATAATAACAAATTATATGATATCAGGAAGTTGTGGATTGTGTTCACTGGCTAATACAAATTGTTGTTGTGTACCTATTGATTGTATACTTCAACAAAAGCTCTAAAGTGTATAAGAGCGAACTGCGACATCTTATAGAATTTATTATTTTTGTTTATGGTGAATATGAAACGAATAACTGTGATATGAAGTGTTCTATATTACATACATACATATGTATATTGTATTATATGTATTTATATGTATATATGTATATTGTACTTTTTATTGAGGAGGTAATGATCACAGATTCTAATGTCATTTAATATATAATACATTACTATATTTAAGAAGTTTCGTACACATACATTAATGAGATATATATGAGTATATAATGATTAAAATGAGTAAATCAGATTTATAAGATAAAGTACGACTATTCTATGTTTAGAATGTTTCTGCGTCACATTTAAGTGATTTTCAGATTCATTCATTTCTTTATTTAGTATTTATTAAAGATACTACATCACCACCTCCATAGATTAAGGAGATTTAGAGATGCTTGACAATTTACTAAATTTAAGCAACTACGATTATATAAATTCTTATAAATATTCACGCACTTCTACAGATACTTCTTCGAGACTCTGCACATTCATGAAAATCTCATTGACTTTAATTGCAAAGGTCAGTTAGTTTACTAAATTTAGTTTTATTATGGTCAGTTTTATTGGCATTTGACTCTTAGTGGATATAGTTTTGGTATGTTATATGTACCTATAATATATAGCTTTGTTTTAAATTTAATAATTAAATGTAGGAAATGTTACGTTGCAGTTGTAATATAGTGAGTAAAATGTAGAAAAAGTGTTTTGTTTGTTTTTATACTTATACTTATACTTAATACTTAATTACTTATGATTCGGTTGCATGTAACATAATAAATTCTCTGTGGGTATTTGAAGACCTCTCTCATAAATTTATCGATTTCGTACGAATACTACATTTTTATTATACTTCTCACACACAACTAGCGTGAATAGTTTATTGAGTAGATCATGATTATCGTAATGTAATGAAGGGTTCTTCGAAGACCTTATAAAGCATAGGTATATATGCCTGATAATCCCTAAAAAACGATACGAATTAATAATATTCATCTGTCTGTCTGATTCAATCCAATTAGTGTCTTTGTTTTTGAATTAAAACAAAGTTTGCGCTTGACTTTCTGTGATTGAATTTGAAATATTAAACTAAATGGCAAAAATCTTATAGCACAGCACAATTTTTGCTGTGTATTTTTTAACTTATTTAAATCAGTCCTGGTATAGGTACATTTGATATACAAATCGATGCTAGGTTTTTTAGAAAAAAAACAGTGTTAGTATTATAATTTATTAGAGACCTTTAATGAAGCAAATGCTTGTTTTTTGTGTTGTATATAAAAGAACACATGTTGTGCTCGAGAAAAACATAGAAACGAATGTATTTCGAATAAGTAAATGCTTTTACATAAAAGCAGTGTTAACCAGTTCGTAAGAAATATGGAGTGAATAAAATTATCACTAGTAAGGAAATGAACAATCAAGTGCTCATGTATGTATATTATTTTAAAAAACTGTTACAACGGTCGTTGAAGTAAAGGGTTACATACAAGTTGTTGTTTAAGAAACTTGTGTTTATCAATGAATTTCTCACAAATCTTGCATTTTATTACAAATTTAACTTATATCGATTCAGATTTGAATATATATTCTATATAATTCATACAACAACCAGTTGTGCCAGTTTTTAATATTAACAAAGGATGTTTGGAAACCTTGTTAGTTTCTGCTTTCTTTAGAAAACTATCTTTAGTGATATTACAATACATTTCATATGCAGTGGTGTATCATTGTTCAACGCAAAAATAAAAAACTTCACAAGATAAAATAAAATATCAAGATGCGATTTGATCAAAAGTTAAGAGGAATTGAAAATACTTCCAATAGCTTTGTGTGTAGGGCATTTAAGCTTTGGCTTAAGTCAAGTCAAAAATAATAAATAGAATTTATTATTTTTGGTCAAGTTAAGTATTTTACTTGCTAAAAGCTACTAAAGCTCTCGAAGTAATTTAGTAAAAAGAAGAACTGCTGGCGTAGGGGTTCTGCACTGCAATTTGTGCAATAAGAAAACTGAATAAGAAGCATCACAAAATGAAATAAAAAAATGATTAGTCACATCAAGGCTTGGTTCTCCAGCAAAGCAAAAATAAATAAAGCAAGAGAAAGGCAATAACAAGTGCGCGCTCGAGTAAACAAAACAAAAAACTTTAGCACTAAAAGAATAAAAATGCGCAACACTTGCTTTTAGTTTCACCGAGGCCGTTGCGAAGTTGAGACGTTGTTCGCATTAGAAGTGTTGTTGTTGTTGTTGTTGTTTGAATGTTATACAAATAACGTAAATATATTCAACAGTTTAATTCAATCTTAAATAGACAAGTGAGTTCGGCCGAAGAGGAGAAGCGCTTTGTTTGCATTTTTCTAATGTTGGCTTACATTTGGCTAATGCAATAAGAATTCCAGTTAATGGTTGCGTGCCGAGTACATTTGTATATTAAAAATTAGTTGAGGTGGTGAATTATAAACCAACCACAACAAGTCTTAAAATATAAACACAACAAACAATTAATCGCATTGATTTAAATTGTGTGTACTTGGCAAAAAAAAAAAACTTCATAAAAAAACATCAAAAAAATGTCTAAAGAAAACGATATTGAAATAAGCAGTAGTCCGGAAAATGCCGCTGTCAGTGTAACAACAACGACAATAACGACAACCATAAAAGATATGACAGACTCACCATTAAGAGTACAAATTTCAGATAATGAAAATAATGGCAATGCACCAGTGCAGACAGCGCAACAACAAAAAAATAAAGGTAAAAAAATACTGTCTTGGGAACTCTAAGTAAAAGTTGCCTAAAAGACGTTTGTGTTCGCGAAAAGTGTCTAAGAAATCATGGATCATGGAATTGTAGAGAAAAGTTTAAACAAGAAAATGTATGCTCACATGTATAGCATGCGTACATATGTATGTAAAAATGTGTGGAAACAGGGTGTTTTTCTAACAATGCAGCATAAGTTGCTAAAGTCATTCCTTCGTCCAAGAAAAAAAAAAATCCTATAGATGGCGGATGTAATGTATATTTGGAATGGTATGTTTATTATAAAATGTGATTGTATGCGGAAAATTGAAGAAGATGTTGACTGAGTCCTGATCTCTTCTTAATATTGACCAAAATACAATATGTCAAAGAAAAATTTACTCAAAAGAATCCTTATTATCTCAAAAATGATGTGTTCAAATAGCTTCAGTCATATACCAATATTGAAGCATTACATATCTATTAGTCATCCTTAATGATAACTAATGGCTTCGAAAATTAAGTTGCTTAAAAACATTTCTTTTTGTTCTAATTTGTCTCTAATATATCAAAACCTTTTGGATGTGTGAATATTTTCCATCTATCATGCACCGTTTTCTTATAATCGGTCAAACATCACATCACATAACATCTCATATCAAGGAAAACACTCTGTTTTAAATGTGAATACACTCGATATACACATGTTTATATATAAGTACAGGGCGTCAACCAACAATAGTTTGTTTCAAATGAAATGACGAAAAGAATTTATTCCACTGCGCATAAGTATTTTAAATTATCTTCCTCTCTCACTTACATAGAATAAATATAGTTCCATAATCTTATGCCTATATGGTTCTACTGCCGTTAGAGTTGGATAAACTAAATGCGATCAATTTAGTGCATCAATGTCAAGAAAAATAATATTAATTATAGATTATCAGATTTAGTAGATAAAATAAAATTAATACATACATAACATAATACAACAATAAATATTGGAAAATATATAATTCAAAGATATAGCAGATGTTGCGGGACAAAATATTATATTAAAAATTTCTCCTTTAATTTAATTGTCCTTTATTTTTAATAACTTGTCTCAATTTTTTTCTATAATCTTTGCAATTCTTCTAAAAATTTAATTTAATAAATAAAATTGTGACAATTTTTAAGAAACTATTTTTAAAGTTTTTGTTATTGTTATAATTAGAGTGGACTGATATATACCACTACTTTTGAATTCCATTGTGTTATCCGCTATCCTCGTGCGCTATTCGATTAATGGTACTGGTTAAATTTAAAATGACCCTTTTCCAGACTTTTTCCATTCAAAACCAAGCAAAGGTTACGGATTTACAGTAAGTGATCAAAGCAGTGGTATATTGCAGTAAGATTCAATTGTATTATTAAAGAGTTAGAGTCAATAAACACAAGTACAGTTAGGTAACCAGTGACTAATCTGAATATAGATCTATGTCGGCTTCTTTGTTTAGATTGCTTTAGATTTTTAATATGTCAATTAATTCATATTCTGTGTTCCTTAACACTGGTTGACGATGGTAAGATGTAGCATCTTGTAGGAACAATGTTTTAAAGTAACTCAAAACTTATTCTTTAGATTTGAATTTTTCGGTACAATTTTTACTGCTGAAATGCAATTTTATCTTTCATTATATGATTATGAGAAAGTTTATGAATATATTCAAAGAATCGACAAATTGCTATTTTCAAACAAATTTATCTGAATATTTTAATGTATCTGAATTTGAAAATCTGTTTCAATTGTTTTTTTTTACATAAGATACATTTTTTGATTTCTTCAAGGCTATTTCTGGTAGTTATTTTTTTGACTTTCTTCCGAAAAAATGAGTTAATTTTGTGTTATCACACATTGCATTGTCAGAGAAAATAATAACAAGATAAGAATTTTAAATATTCATGTGTTAAGTTATAAACTATGTTTCAAGAATTCTTGAAAGTTAAAATAGCAATTTAATATTTGGTACTTCAATTTAATGAATATTCGCTTTCAAAATTAAATACTGAAATTAATTAATTGTTAAAAATAAATTCAAAAGTAATTATTGATTAACTTAGATATTAACTTAAATGGAAATTATTCACATAGAAGCAATACAAAAAGACTAACATGGATTAAAAATTCGTAATATATTTAGATATAACAATATTAATAAAGTAATTCAATTCAAAATATTTCTTTCATCGTTTCAATAATAAAATTAATATCAGATTTGCTAAACAGACAATTTCCAATAGATAATTAGTTATGCATAAGTTATTTACTAAATACTTTGTAGTCTGTAATATCAACATCATCTGTCAAATAGTTTCAAACCTATTAAATATTAAAGTCAAGCAAACAGAAAATGCCTAATACTTTCTCCCCAACCCATATAGTTTGTAAGAAATCACTAAAAAATTTTTGTTTATTATTCCTGAGACGAGCGAAGAATCAGACTTTCATTAAAAACATAGACGGAACAAGTTGAAGCGAGTTGCCACTCAATAGAAAGAACTGAAATGAAAAGACTGGCATCTGACAGTGTTTATTGGAAATTATTTAATAGGGCTAGATGTTCTTCATATAAATTTAAAGATTTAAATATATATATGATTTATTACTCACACGGAAGGTGGCACACGTGTCTTACCACGTTATAAGTATCTTGACTTACTAAACGTAAATAACATATAACAATATTATATGTGCGCTAGAGACCGTAGGTGTTTTAAAATTTTTTTTTAATATAAATAAATATCACATATTCTTACTAAATTTATTATATATAAATTATTCAATCCACTTATCCAAGCAATTAATGTTGAAGTATGAAGAAAAGGGTAAAGAACCAGGTAACAGCACCAAAACCGATCAACTGAAAAATGATGTCTAATAGTACTAAAAACTTAAAAAAAACGAGAAATACCTATAACAAAATTTTATTCAATATATCTATATAAATTATATATCTATATAAATATGTTAAAAATATAATTTAATTATATGTGGATTCGTGAACTTATGAAGCGCTATAAGTCGATTTTTCGGAAGCATGCTCATTTCCTCAAATAATTCTATAGTTATATCTAATAGTAGTTATGTCTTAAATTATTTTAGTTGTTTTAAGTTTTTTCGGACTCACACTACTAACGTTCCCTCCAATTCTGAGATCAGTTTTAGAAAAGAAAATATTTCGTTTGGATATAAATTTTTATAGGTTTTTCTTTCTGTTCAAGGTGTTCGGTTTGTTAAATTTATATTTACAGTCTAATGAATTCGCATTCATCGGAGGATGTAGACGAGTATGCTTCAGACAATGATGCGAGCAGTGTACCACTTTTACGCGACGAAAATGTGTTCGATAAAAAACCGGCAAGTATGTGTAAACATTCAACACCCTACCAGTAAAATAATAAATAATAGATCAATGTAGAACATCGCGAATCTCAATTGTTAGCTAGGCAAGCTAAATACTTAGTTTATAAATTGTTTTGCGCAATAATTATTATTTAGTTCAGTGCTATATGCAATTATGCCAAACCGAGCGATTCGTGGCTGAATGTGCTCAGAATTAATTATTGAATTGCGTCTTCAAAAAAATCCAACATATTCAGTGGCTACCGCTCATATTCGAACTGCTTGGAATTCGCCAGCAGCTGAATAAGGCCGTACGATGCTTATTGTGATTATGAAAAATTTTATTTTGAAATCTTATTCTGTTTCATCAAGCGGCGGCGAGGTGTGAGATTATTCACCTGTAGCTATGACACCAACGCAAATTCGATATGTCATCAATGACAATTGACAATATATGGAAGAATATCTCTATGCTAATGAATATTTCAAATGTTGTTTTTTATCAACAGATACTCATTTAATAAACTCGTATAATTTGTTTGTAGGAAAAATGGATGCTGAGCCTTCCCTCTCCAATTTTAAGGTGTTATATGTGCTGACACAGTTATGTGGTCTCACAATGATTGCGTTGGTTGGAAGTTGGATTGGAGCGCACATGGGCGGCTTGGGAGGTACTGACAATCCCTCACTCGAATTTAACTGGCATCCATTATTAATGACTATCGGTTTGATATTTTTGTATGGCAACTGTAAGTACATAATTAATTTAACATAAAAAATGTACATTTAAGTAGTTCATTTGAAACAATTAATCGTGATGAGCTTAATCTTGTCTGACTTGCAGCAATTCTTGTGTATCGAGGTTTTCGTAATATGCGAAAGAAAACACTTAAACTAGCGCATGCAAGCATCCATATGGGAGCTTTTATACTTACTGTTATCGCATTGAAAACTGTCTTCGATTCTCATAATTTGGCCAAGCCGGATCCGATACCAAATATGTATTCGCTTCACTCTTGGTTGGGATTATCAGCCGTCATTATATTTAGCATGCAGTATGTAGCTGGCTTTGTAGCATTTTTGGTACCAGGAATGAAGGAGTCATTTAAAATTGCTCTCATGCCTTTACACGTATACTTTGGACTGTTTGGATTTGTTTTAGCCATTGCAAGTGCATTAATGGGTTTAACTGAAAAAGCAATTTTTGCGTAAGTTTCATAATATTTCTTCATATATTTAATCAACTGTTGTTTAAATATTATATTTTTTTAGAAAACTTTATCCCGAGTTATTAAGTTCTGGTGCGATGGCAAATATGTGCGGAGTGTTGTTTGTGGTATTTGGTGGTTTGGTAGTTTACTTGGCAACAGAATCAACATACAAGCGAAAACCCCTACCTGAAGATACTGTGCTACTGACTGGTGCCAGCAATTAAACTTAAGAAATTCTTGAAGTTTATAGCGAGTCTTTTCTATGGGTGCTTCATCGAATTTGACTAAACCATTTAATCTTATATTGGTTCTATCTTATATAATTTCGTATCTCAAAATATCGTTAGTGCTCAATATTTTCTGTGTTAATGTACTTATTTTCTATTGTAATATTTTTACATTATTTTATTTTTACACGAATATTTAATAAGCACAAAACCTGTGGTGCTTTATATTGTCACAAATAATTTGATTTAGTAAATAGTTTTAAAAAGTATATCCAGAATACTGTATGTCGGTAAGGGCTATGTTATACAGACAATCATATGATCGCCTATCACCACATTTCTTCTTGTTGCAACATTGAAATAATTGAAAATAACAACAAATGTGGCCATCGACAATCATTTGATCGTCTGCATAACATGCTCCTAAGGATTATAAACAAAAAATACACAAAATTTTAACGTGCAGCACAAATTTTTGTATTATTCAAGCTATGTACATATTCTTACATATACGATATATATATATATAATTATTGTATGTTAAATTATTTTTATTGTCTGTTAATAAATGTGCATAAACACATATACGAGTGTTAAATATATAATTAAATATATTGCTTATTAAAACGTTTATCCTTTTTTTAATTCACTTGAATTAGGTTTGCTGCACAGGTAGATTTGATCCATTCAAATTCATTTAAGCCCTTCTTGGCTTAAATTGTGAAGTCAAAATTAGCACAAAGTTTACAGTACCAGTAAAGCTCATAGATGTTTTACACATAACCAAGGTAATGTGGGTTGAATATCCTACGTTCTGAATTTGTTTAATGTCTAATAGAATAGAATAATATAGATATTCGAATGATTGATATAAAGGAAGGCTAAAAGACCTGTATTCTTAGTACAGCTAACTAGCAGTTAGTTACTATTTGAATATTATAAACAAATATCGTCGAAATAAAGTATTTACAAGTAAATAGTCTAACTTATTAACTTTACTAATTATTTTGGTGATTTTTTATATATTTAATTGTGGATTTGTAGTTCATGTATTTTATTATACTATTAGTCAAAAAGTGAGAAGAATTTAATTTTTAGTGTCTAATCCAACGCTTTCCTTTGAAATAATGTATTTGTGCTGCCGTTGTCCTCAGTGAAACAATGTTGTAAAGCCTTTTTCGGTTTTTTCGTATGATATTGAGCCCGTCCTGTAATAAGGGCCATTTTGAGTATCTCTTTGAGTTTGCCGCAAAATTTGTTGTTTCTGAAGAATAGAACTTTCACAATGATATGGTGTAATATTTACATTTGCGCCATATAACATTATTTCTTCATCTCAACCTCTCCAATGATAACTTTTCTATTACCAAGCATCTTTTAATATTCCCTACATTTTCATTATTGTTATTGCGTTATCGTAAATGTTTTGTCAACCGGTTTGTAACAATCATAAAGTTGTTATTGCGACATAGTATCATCGCCAAAGGGGTTTTAATGTTTCGCTGCACTTAGATCCATTTCAAAATACTAATGTAAGTCTTATTCAGTCTCAGCACACAGAAACTAACCATAGCAACTGACTGACAGTTAACATCAGGTAGCACTGCAACCAATACGGAAAAATAGTCTGCTCAATAAAAGATATACAAGTTTTATAAATTTTTTTTAAATAAAAATGTTAGATCTAAATTTTGATTGATTTTATTTAACTTTTGAATTTTTAATTGATCAATGATTGCTCCAACACCATTTAGCAGCAACATTAAAATTATAGATGGGCAATGCCATACAGTATGTTTGCGGGTTTACTCTATCCTTGAGTAATAATCTATTATTGCTTTATTAATGGCTGATTAAAAATGATAAATAAATAATAATGTATTAATGTATTAAAAAATCTTAGCGATAAACAATAATTTGATCACTTGTTGAAGATAACGAATGACGACAAACAATATTCCCTATGCCAGGTTGTTTTGCAAAACACTATGAAAAATCGTATGGTATGCTTTCGCAAAATCAAGACTATTGCATATTGTATACTCATCTCCCTGCTTTTGGTCTACCATACAGATGGCCTGGGTAGTGATTACGGAGAGGAAAGTGGAAATACTTTTACTTTGGTAAGAGTGATATCAACATGGGTCAATGTTTATGCTAAATTAAAAACTCCAGATCTTCGACTATAAAGGATTTTATGTATGAAAAAGATGAGAGAAAGAAGTACTAGAAGTCAGTCACTGTTCAGTCGTCGGTGAGTTAAGTCGCAAGTAGAAAATGCGTTGTTAATATTTCGTTGTTCTTTTTCGTTTCTAGTGGCACTGGATCTGCTGAGTGGTGCTGATTCAACAAGTATATTTTGCATATACCGAAATAATTTTAATAATTCAATATACCTTTAATAAAATTAATTCTATATAGTAAACTAAACTTTACGTGCTGTAGTATCGAGTTTTTGAGTTTGAACAGTAAAATAATTTGACTACTATTCAATGCGTTTTTTTAAATATATTATATTGTAAGATATGATACAGAAGAAGCTTGGACAGCTACTAACACTGATGCGAAGACGTTAGGACTATTCGAGAGAAAAATTCTTCAGGAAATCTATGATTCCTGACGTATTGGCAACGAGTATCGAATTAGATGGAATGATGAGCTGTATGAGATATACTGCAACATTGTCATAGATAAGCGCATAAAAATTCAGCGGCTTTGCTGGCTTGGTAATATCATGCGAATGGAAGAAAATGTTGAAACTAGAAAGGTTAGAGGACAGCATTGCGTAATAAAATAGCCACTGTGCAATGAAATTTTCTCTGACATGTTGAAATTAGAAGTTAAAGTTGTAAAGGAGGTAGGCCCATTGTTTTAAATAGAATATAAAGTAAGCAGTATTTTTGATATTTGATAGATTGTAAAATAAATGAGAAAATATAACAAATTCCAATTTAGTAATTTATTGGATTTCGTTAAAAATGTATTTATTGAAAAGTTCACAGGAAATTGTATAAAAACCTGAAGAAGACTTTATAACAGCGTAAAAATATAGCGAACTTAGAAATAATTGCAGACAACATATCGAATTACAAAAATTATTTTTCGGCTTCCTGAGTATTGCTTATCTTGATGAACTGCAATTTATCGGTTATGCCGACAATGTATGTAGGAATCTTGCCACGGCCTTTCACATAAGTAAGTCCTCTGTAATCACAGTTTATATCAAATGTTTTTAAAATTTCTGCAGTCTCTTCAGTAACCTGAACGCAACCTGGAATACCTGTTGAATCCATACGTGAAGCCATGTTAACTGCGTTGCCCCATATATCATAATGTGGCTTATAAGAGCCAACAACGCCAGCCATTATTTCTCCATGAGAAATACCTTACATTATATAAGATTAATGAAATTATTTTAGTTTTTTATTAACAGACAAAAATGAAATAATTTTACCAATCCGCAGCATTCCCCGATCTTTGCCACCACCATCCTCATATTGCAAATTTTCGGTATTAAAACTATGCATAGCCTTCATCAAATCCAACGCAAATTGCACCATTACGTAGACTACGTTGTTTTGCTGCGGGCTGCTAATTTTTCTACTCTTAATATTGTGACCTTCGTAATGTTCGAAGGATCTACTGTCTAATGAACCGAAGGACATTTCTGGCTCCGGATCTTGATTAATAACAATGGCTTCGCTATTGGCTGAAATTGCAAATAAAATAAATATTACAGCATACGTATGCAAAAGAGTATATTACTACTTCGGGTGTGATGACTCCGTCTTCCATTAGGTAAAAGAGATGAGCTTCGATAGCTTGCATTTGAGCCAATATGATCAGAGCGTTCGAGATCTAAACCACATGCTGCCATATAAGTCCAACCTGCCACCTTAATTTTTTCTATTTTTAGTGGGCCCCTGTATGAATTGAGCTACAAAATTATTGATAGAGTTAGTTGGTGCAAAATGTTGACCAACTGATTATTCAAGCATTGCAATATCACTAATACATACCATCTCGTCGAAGTCACAGATAATTTCATTTAAGACCCGCAAACCAACTTTCTCTGTGTCATAATTACGAATTGTGGCAAACATCACAGCAACATTTTCGTATTCTTCGTAATAGAGTTCATTTTTCATCATTTTTCTCATATAGATATCAGCTAAAAATAATTTTAAGAAGCTGTATTTTTAATATTTATTCAACAAGTTTTAAAGAAAGTCTCGAAATATGTCACTTCTTCAACAATTATTGGTGAAGTTATTGCAAAAAGTATGTATACGTTTTAGATAAAAGAGAATGGTAGGAGTCAAAAAAATCCAACAAGACAATACACAGGAGAAAGAACTTTACCAACAGGCTTATTTTGAAAAGATGGACAAATAATACGAGTATAATTTGGCCGGCTTAAAAAGGCTGAGGAATCTTTGGATTAAAATGTCTACAAGGAAAAAACTTTAATGTTTACGAATCTAGTTTTCCAACGAACCAAATATGATTTGGGATCTGGAACTAAGAAATATTGTCAGGTTTAATTACATAACAATATTATTATTAGAAGTGACAATGTGTATCATTGATACATTGATAAGATCTGTTGTGCTAACCCTACGTTAGCTTATGAGAATGTAGCGCAAAAGAGTATCGCAATAGATCTTATAGAACACAATGCATCAGTGTCACTTTAAATAATAATATTTTTTTCAATAACTAATGATAATGTGTATTTCCTAAAAAGACTCTTGGAAAATATTATGAAGATAAATTACAATATATTAGACTTATGCCACCTTACCCACATGTGATGGTAATATATTGTTTATAAGAATTTTTATTGTTTCATTAGTGAATTTCGCATCGTCTTGCCTCTTCTGTAGTTGCCGCTTCCAACTGCAATTGTTATATAATAAAATGTTGTGTTAGTCAACTAGCCAAATACTAAGTATAATATGAATATAAAAGTAATATTACTTATAGTCGACTTTTGATATGAACTCCATCTGACGATCTATTAGATGATATATTATCAAAGTAATCACCAAGATAAGAATGTGTGAGTACTCCGCATACAATCCAACGTTTGTAGGGGGGCTTTTTTCATATATAAACTCGAATTCAAATTCCACAACAACACTATAAAGTGCAATGATCAATACACCCGAGAACAGCTTCATTACGAAAGGCACCCGCGTAAACAGAAACACCATTATAACTGTAAGGATAACACTTTCCGACACAGCCTTTGAGAAAAATGAATTATCTTCAGACAGGTTTTACATGTGTGATACTATTAATTACCCAAGCATTGAAGCAAAAGTGAGCATGTTGTCCATTATGTAGAAGCTGAATATCGATTTCTTCATTCATAACCTCAAACCTGTCGCAGTCTAACTAAAAAAAAAAAAAATTTGCTCAGATCAACAACTATCAAGAGAATGTAATTCTACCAGTTGCAAAGATGTACAAGTGCAGTGCATGACGACAATGGTTAGATAGATGACTATACGTGCCACAAGACTTCTTTGAACACGATCCGATAAATTGTAAAATATTATGCTAAAGGTCGATTTAGGCTGTGACTGTTCTGAATCACTAATAAACATTATCCATAGTTTCTTGTACCAGGATACTACAAGAAAAAATGTCAATACAAATACATCAATCCCCACTAGAATCCAAAATAAAGTGGATTGTCTGCAAAGAAAAACAAAAGACAGCATAAATATGTTGCATTTGGAAAGACTAAAGGGACCTTGTTCTTTTACTTACGGTTCGTTTACCGCCTGCATCGCAACTATAGCTAGAAATGTTATAAAACCGAACAGTATGCTATATTTCAGCATTACATCAGGCTCATTAAGATATAAGAACTCCCAACGCCAATCTTTAAAGAACAATCCCAAAGACGTGATATTACTGCGAAAACTCTGCTCCTCCATCTCATCCTGCGTTAAACGCTTTGAACGACCAAATAACTGGCTCATTCTGGAAATAAAATCTATTAAGTTAAAGTAACCGTACCCGTATTAGAATAATTGTTATGAGAACATACTGAATTCTACCAATCGGCATTTTGTCCAGTTCTCTGCTCATTTCCAACTTTGCCTGGTTGCGTATTTGGTTATATTGCATAATTGTGTTATGCATAAAGTTCGCAGTTGTATCTTGTTTGGCAGTACTCTATTACCGCAACGAAAATATCGAATAAATAAGTGAGTTCTCATGGAATTCAACGAAAAATTAATAACTAATAGGAATATTGGGTAATCTAGAATATTGATGGTTAATATTGGTGTTACTTGTTGATATAAGAAGTAGAACTATTTGATATATATATCGATATTCAAATTTGGTATACCTATTTGACTAATACGAATATCTAAATGTAAAAAAAAACATTTCGAATAATCCGCATATTTATTTTGTGTTAAATTTTCGAATACCGAAAACATTTATTCGGTATTAGTATTCGGATTAGTATTAAAACTAATCAAATATTAGACGTTTTATGTGTATTCTGTGATTTACTGCGTACTTGATTTATGAATACGAAAGTGCTAATATACTTCTAGCATGCACACTGGTGTCAATGTAGTCGGCATATGCAAAAATTGAGAATTGGGTAATTTATGTCGATAGTGGAATAGTAAGTTACCTTATGTAAGGTCTCAAATATTTTTAAACGGTTTGGATAGGTCGGGTTCTGCCTTGATACCCGAAACATAAATAGTTTGTTGTGATCGATAGGTGTAGATCTGATCATTAATAGTGCTAATAAATATTGTTTTTATTTTGTTATCGAATAAAATTCAACCCTTTGATTTAATATGATTTAATACTCAATAGTTCTTAGACTACCCAATATTCGCTAAAATGTTGGTATGTAATTATTTCAGTGACCATGCTTACTTTTTTTTCAATTTGTCGTTTTACTCCAATTGAGCGATCGTAAAATGTGACCTAAGAAATAAAATATATTATCACCATTATATTATCAATAACATGGATTTAATTATGAATCCCATATACCTTAGGAGGTTTAATTAAAAATGTGTGAATACGGTACTTTCTCAAAACTTCATCATTGCGTGCTTCTGGGGTACCTTCTTCGAAAAGATATTCGCCATCCAATAATTTTAAGGTCTGTTCACTTACATGTACGCGACCAGCTTTGCCAGTGGATTCCAGGCGATTTGCAATATCGACATCTTTAGACCAAATATCATATTGCCACTTACAAGCTCCAATAACACCGGAAAGAATATTACCAGAATGTACTCCAATACGCATATCAATATCCAATTTACGTTTCGCTCTTTTGTGAATTAAATTATTAGGTGTTCGAGATTAAAGATCTACTTAAATTTTGATATAGGCTAGTGTGACGTGATAATACTCATTTTAAAACAGGAAAAGTTTGTATACGGAATATCTATATAGCTATATATATAATATCTATATATGAATATTGTATTCATTAGATTGTAGCTGTTTCCAGCTTATTTACAACTAAACAAATTTCAGAGAACTTTAACTAATACATATAGAAATATGGTTAAAAAATTAAATTTTAAAAGCACTTTATAAGTCAGTATATTTTTCTCACTCACGGCTAATGAAACGACCCTCAAAAAAGTGCGATTGTCCCGCAAAAATGAGCATGTTTAGTCACCCTAATGGAGGCTTACCTTACGTCACGTATGTCGGTTATCATACGTAAACCAAGTTCAACGCAGCATTTGGCATGATACTCGTTTGGAATGGGAACACCAGCGACGCAATAATAACAATCTCCCAAAAATTTTATTCGTAGCACATGGAATTCCTAAAATGGCTAGAAATTAAGATCAACTACTTTGGTTATTTAGAAATACTATTGTATATACTTCCGACGCCAAATCAAATTTCACAAAGAGATCATGAAGTGTTTCCACCAGCGTTTTCACATCCAAAGTCGTCGTAAGATGCGTATAATTAACAACGTCAGCATATAGGATCGTTACGTCATTGTGGGGCTCAATGAACAATTTTCTTTAATAGAAAAAGTTTTTATGCAATTATTGATTATATGAATGATTATATGTGGTGAATAAGATGTAAATAGCAAGCGAAATAATCTTTATTTAAGCGTGAGTGTATGCTTGAAGCCAAAAGCAAGTCAAATACCTACAATGAAAGTGAGATGTAGTTGTTGGTTGTGTTTCTACTGGCGCCTATTGTTTTTTTTGTTCTACCTAAAATGCGAGGTACAAGAAAACGAATGAATTTTGAGAAATGAATATAAATGAATATGTAAATGAAATAAGTTTTGTCGGAGTGAGAAATGTATTTGGACCATCATAGCTGAAAAGCTATGATGCTTTCATCGTAGGAAAAATATCATAGCTCAAGAAAAGTATCAAGGAGAAAACAGGAGTTAAAGATGAAAAAATAAGATTTATTGTAAATTGTCGGTGACACATTTCAACTTACTCAGTATCTAGTTGACGCCAGCGTTTAACTATATGTGTATTAGAACTGTAATAATATATAATATTATTTTAAAATGTGATTTTTTGTTTTTTATACAACATGTTAGTTATTTATTGATTTTGCTTTCAGATAGGATTCTGTTATTAGTTCTGTTAATGAGAATATATTACCTTGCTGCCCCGGGTTCAATACTTTTTCTGCGATGTTGTGCCTTTAGATATTCAATGCGAACTTTAACATCCTGCTCTATTTTGTTTGCTATTTGTGCAGGTATGATGCTGAGAAGAAGACTTTTCTGAAATTATATATATGTGAAGAACACTTCATCTCTTATAGAGTTTTACCTCTTGATCGCGAGCATAACGCAAGAGTAAATTTTCCTCAACACATTGACGTCTATCAAGAAATGTTGTCCGTATTGCAATTTCCTGGTTCATGCGGTAGTAGAGACCTAATAAATTAACACATAATAAAAAAATAGCATCTGAAATGATAGCCATAGTTCCAGCATTCCGATTTGTTGTTGGCTCAGTGCGATAGGTTATAAAAGTATACGTGACTAGGTATGATATTGTAACGGCAATACCCAAAATAAAAGAGTGCAAATTTTCTGGTACAGGCATGAATATATAAACAGCAAATAACACGTAACACGCATATGTTGGTCGAAGTATATCATGGCTGCTAACAGCATGGTAAATTGGAATACTTAGATCTAATGAGAAGAGGACGGAGAATGTTTAAAATCTTTTTTCATTTTGTTATGTATGGAAGAAGTTTACCTGCCGCCATCATGACTGTTATTGCCAACCATGATGTTACGTATAGTATCCATGAGTGACGTTGAAAATCTTTGTAAAAGTTAATAGCTAATATGATCCATAATGCAACTGAAGATCCTATATAAATGCATATGTCGACATAGACATCAGATAAATTCTTTAAAGAGAAATTTATTTGCAATAATGATATTAATAAATATCTGAGGTACACTTACCCGGACTGTCGCAAGTAAAAGTATGGAGTGAACAATTACAACAAATGTCTCGATTATTAAAAATAATGAGAGATAACTAACATTAAGTCTTTGCAAGTAAAGCTTATAAAATTGTTCCAGTTCTAGGTTTCTACATTTTTTCTGGAAACAAGAATTTTCAATATAATACAAAAAATGAAACTGACATCGATAGATATATTTATTTATTATATTTATTATATATATAATATTATAGAAGATATAATGATAAGCATAACCTCATTAAAGAAAATGTGATAAAACAAAATGGCAATAGCAAACTGAGAGTCATACATAACCAAGAGGAAAGAAATAACAGAGCTATGTAAAAAGAACTACATATGCACTTTCTAAAAGAAAGTAAATACCATTAATTGTCTTTTTAATACCGAAAAGATCAATGATTTATATAGAAGTCTGAAATTATAAGCAAATCAGTTTTAGTTAAGTTTTAGTTAACCCCCACAACCATTAATCCTACAACGCTGGAGGAACCGGTGCTTTCAAATAGAATAGCACTGGTACAAAACCAGAACAGTAAAAATCCTCAAGAAGCTGAATTCACTTTGGCTGTAGTCTTGGATTTGATAAGCAAAATGAAAAATGATGAAGCTAAGGATGGCGCAACAAATGGTAATTGTTGAAATGTCAAAAATATAGATGTTTAATGGAATATATGAGCTGATTTTAAAACTATGGAGAGAAGAAGAAGAAGTATCTAAGACATGGTCAACTGAAATAATAATGATAACCTATGAAAACGAAAAACCACCTATATATATTGCAAATTTCATTATCGTATTCTGGATAACGTTTCATTATCGTAGACCACTGGATAACGTTTTTTTTTTAATTATTATACAGTTTTTTGGTATCCATATACATTTATATTAGACATTTAAAAGTTATTCATGGTTACTTTGATTTGTTTAAAACGTTTAGAGTTTAAATTGAATCGTTCAACTATCCTGTTTTATTTTTGAATTCGCTGGATTTATCAGGAATACCACTACATAACTTAAGATTAAAAATTGGCTCACCTATAATTGTGCTGCGGAATTTAAATGCACTTAAGCTATGCAACGGCAGTTTTACGATTCATTTTAGAGATTTTAAAAGCATGAATAAATTTTAAATTTCTAATATAAATGTATATGGATATCAAAAAATAAAAAATTAATTAAAAAGACATTATCCAGTGGGCAAAATTGTGAATCTAAACCTTCCTTGAATCCACTTGAACACACACAAAAAATTTCATCAAAATCGGTTCAGCCGTTTAGGAGGAGTTCACTGTCAACACACGTACAGAAGAATTATATATATAAGATAATACATGATACATATATATTACATATATTTTATTTAATTTATTATAATTTTTTATATACCTATAACTTATGAATCTAGTATGCATTTGTTTATTACATACAATCGATAAAAGTAGTGTGTTTTAACTCTATATAATATATATAAAATATAAAAAAATATAATGGTACTCTACTTACTCTGAGAAAATCTGATTCCCATTTCTTTTCATTGACTAGAGGAGTATTCGTTCCATCATTTGAGTGTTTAATATATTCTGTTGATGATTCCAAAATGGCATCCATGATATTTTGTTATATATCTCACTTTAGACTTTATTGTTAAGGAACCTATAATCATCGCCATTCATATCTAATTAACTTCTTAATAAAATTCACTGCACAAAAATTTGATCACATATATGTTTGTTTCTTTTTATAAATCTATTTTAATTTTCTCTATTTATTAATTTTCAATGTAAACTATATGAAATAATAGTATAATAATTTTTATTTCACTAAAAATAAAATTGTATTGTTTTCATCGAAATTATATATATAAATTGAAAATCGAGTTCTTGTCGATCTATCTAATCGTATGATTATTAAAACAGGAAAAAGGGACTGTGTCCAAATCTTGTACTGGTAGTATACATATAGATTTTTAAGACCGTAAAATCCGATATTTTTCGAACTATTTCGATATACATATATATTAATATATTAACACTCTGTTCGGAATTAATGATTGGAAAAGCCTGTGAGTTTCTCACTTAATTAAGCTGTTATCAAAAATGCGTGTATATGTTTTTATTATTTAAGTGGTTGTATTTATAATTTTTTGGTTGTCAGTTGTAGAAATTAAAGGAAATACATAGATTAACAAATCAGGTACAATGACACTAATAGGTTTCAATGTATTTCATTTTTGATTTCATTTTTATTGCACTTGAGAGTAACATTAGCAAATAAATTTTGCAATTACATTAATCAAATTTAAATTATTTATTTAAATTTTAATATGATAAATTTATTTTGATAGCGTGAAAACAAGTCAGATATTTAATTGATTATTAAATAAATAATATATTTAATGAAAATATTTAATGCAAGTTAATGTTTTAACGCAAATTAAGCACTTGGAACTACACGTAAAATCGCACTATAAATTACTCATTTCACTGATAAGAACACCGTTTGTACTGTTGAATTTTATCCATTATTGAACGCAAACAGGTAATATTTCATCCGATAACTTAAGAAAACTATAATTCATTCACCATCTCACCCTATGGACAAACCGTGAGAAACTAACTTCGATACTTAACTCTGTAGCTATTATTGCCATAAGCGAGCTTGTTTCTTATCAATAAAAGGTAAAAATTGATTACTTTAGAATTTTTAAGTAAATCATTAAGAGAGAGTCTAAAATTTTTTTTTCAATAAATATATATATTAAGTATCTACTGTTGTAGAATGTATTTTTAATTTATATTTATGTTATGTAGTTTTATGGGTTACAAAAGAAATACTTTGTATTTATGTAATTGTCATTTATATAGATGAAGTGAAAGGAAAATTGATATTTCGTTTATGCCACCCATATGGATTTGTTTATGTCTGACTGGTTGGGTAGCCTGCAGTCCAGTCCTGTGTTGTTATTTAATACTTTTTACTATTCTCAAATTATCTGACTTCTTAAGTCATAAGTGTTAAGAATTGATATTTTCTAGATCTCATATAATATGTTTTAAAGTATATATCAATGTTCAAGCTTCTGAAAAAGTTTCTATGCTCTTATATATTTAGTGATTCTGATATACAAATTATTTGCATATATGTATGTATATAATGTATGTTTATTACAGATCGCCACGAGACATGAATTTTTTGTACATAATATGAAACCGTTAATAAAATTTTTAAATTAAATGTATTTGCTTCATTGTGTTCTTTACATTTTTGATATTCTACAGCTCTTCAGTGTAAGCTGTGAAGAAAAAACATCTCTAATACTCATGATGACTGTTAGATATTAGGTCTGTTCCAAGAGCTACTCGTATTAACTTTGAGTAACACTGTGTATACACAAGTGCGATCTACCAGCAAATTTTCGAGTAAATGAGATAATCTGAGAGAGCGTAACATCCCTGTCGAAATTTGAAAATGCTGTACAGACTCTACTCGTACATTTAATTTTAAGTAAAGTTTGTGTGAATGTGAATCAGCTGTTTTGGTTTGAATTTAAATTTTTGTATTGTATATTTGCGCGGCACTGATGTTCTCACTAGATTTTACACAAAGCTGTTCCATAAAAATTTGTGTAAAAACCGTAATTTGGCACTTTATTTCTGTTACGCTCTCAGTTTTGTGTTTTAATTGAGTTTTACTATGAGTAGCTCGTGGAACAGACCAATTACTGTAAAGTTATTAATGAAAGAATATTTTAGTGTGTTTCTTCTGATATGGCAGTGCTGTTCCGTAAAGCAACGTTAGAATAAAAATGGTTCTCAAACAAGAAAGACGCGTCTTTTACTTTAACATAACGTAGCGAAACAAGTTTAACAATGACAGACCCATATATTCCAGTCTTTCAACTCAAAACGTAGTTTATTTTCAGTAATCAGAAATTTCTTCACAAAAACCGACAGCAATGAGTGTCAAAGTCCATAATATCCGAGCATATGAACTGTGTTTATTTCTTCAATATATCAATAAATTGAATCAATTTGTTTCTTAAATTAACATGAGTAAATTAAAATTACAAAGCAGTAAGTATGCGTTACTATGAATCAAAAAGTAGTCACGCGCCCATCTCTAATGTGTATTAACACTTCGAGATTTTTGTCAGGTTTTTTATGCGTTCTGTTTCAAGACAATACAGTATTATTGTCAGTAATCACTTCAAGGAAGTGCAAATAAAAGCCCGCTTATGTAGCACAAGAAATGTAATTTTAATTTTCCGTGCCAAAATTTTAAATTATATTTGTAATTCACAATAGTAAAATTGTGTAGAGATATTGTGAATATATTTCATATATTAAAGCAAAGCATAATAAAAAATTTCTACAATATTCATCGTTTTCATTAATGAATGCAGCTAAAATTACTTGTACTGTATGAATACGCTATAAATAATACAAATACATGATTTTAGTTGTACTGTGTTTTGAAACAATATATATGCGCCGGATATACGATTTTTAAATTTTTTGTGGCTCGAGGAGAAAATTCTATTGTGAATGATTCATATATCGACATGTGTGAAGCAATGAGATAAAAAGTATCTATGCAGCTGTCAGTGTCAAGAGTAAAAATATGTGTTTGCAGAGTGCTGGCGTAGTTTCCAGCTTGCGCTATAAATGAAGGAGATTTTGAAGAAAGACGTGCATATAATTTAGTCTTTATTTCTTTTTAATATATAATGCATTATGTCGGCGTTTACCGAAACGGCATTGTTGAAGAAATTATCTGAATTGAATTCTAGTCAGCAGAGTATTCAGACCCTGTCTCTTTGGCTAATTCACCATCGAAAGCATCATGCATCAATTGTAAAGACATGGTTCCGAGAGCTACAGAATGGTAAGTTTTCTTAACTTAGATTTTAATTCTCTAAAATTAAACGTGACCAATTTTATTTGCAAGTTTCTGAAAACAAGAAATTGACTTTCATGTATTTGGCCAATGACGTGATACAGAACAGCAAAAAGAAAGGCCCGGAATACGGTCGAGAATTCTTAATTATATTGCCAAAAGTGTTCACTCACATTGGAGAAAGTTGTTTTTCTGAAAAACTATTTGGCAGTCTGGGCAGAATACTGTGCATATGGGAGGAACGTAGTGTTTATGAGCATGCTGTTATTAATGAATACAGATCACTCTTAAATAAGAAACATGGTAGTTCAGGCAATTCCAATTTCCACAAAAGAGATGAAAGTAGGGAGAACGTAAAAAAGATTGAAAAACGAAAGCATGAAGATTCAAGAAATAAAACGAGGCATATGAAATTACCACACACGCATAGTGAAGATAATGCAACAAAAGATTCTAGTGAAGATGTCCTACAAATCAGTCCATATATACCACATGGGGAGCCTCCAGAACCAGAAGAATTGATAAAAGCCCTTTTAGCAACAGAAAATTCCGCTTCTAGTGATGCTACTGTGCGCGAAAAAATAGCGAATTTACCTCAAGAAATATCCGATGTAAATTATTTGCATAAATTAGAGGACAAGGAAAAAGCCAAAAAATTATCCAATGAGGTAAGATTACTTATTTATTTAAATGATCGAATAGTCCCTCTTTTTATATGAAATTGTTTATGGAGACTTGAAGTTTGTCTAACTGGAGTGATATCTATAATAGTATATAAATAGTGACAAGTAAAAAGTATCAAAATTTAAAACTATTTCCAGTAGGCTGTTGCAAAACGTCTGGATATGGTCTGCTTTATAGGAAATTACGTTGCAATAAGCAAACACACATTATCCGAACAAATTAAGCAAGTGTAGTAAAAACACATTTTTAAATTCAAATTGATTGCTCTTTATGAGTGAGACAATAATAAAAAAATTTACCTTTTAAGTTAAACAAAATCATTTTTGTCATTTCAGCAGTGTGTATAAGTACTATTATAAACTTGGAACATTAAAAACGTTTATATAAATGTTTATTACACTTATTACAGGTGAAATCATTTTCCGTTTATTCGGGTCTTTGGCGCTGTGCCAAGAATTCGACTTTTGCTCAGTTTAATATGAGTTGAGCGCAGACTGCATGCATGAGTGGAGTGAAGGAGTTTACTTTGTCGTTGTTTTTATAGTAATTACATACAATCTTAAAGGCATTTAACCTTTCTTTATGGCTTGTTGAAATGCTTGTAAGTGTCTAAAGCATTTTTGCTAAAAACAGTCTGTGACTCTGTAAATTGTGTTTATTGGAATTATTTGCTTGTGCAGAGGGCAGAGTTTTATTTTTCACGCACGCAGTGAGAGGAGGTTGGATCTTGGTTTCTTAATTCGGCGGGGTCAAAATTTAATATGGTTCAAGTTAAGGTAGGCAACTGCCTATTTGGCAATGCCAATGGCAGTATAGTTGCAGTTGCAGCATACAGTGGTGTTAATTAGTCACGTGTTAACGCGTGACTGGTAGCTACTAACCTTGCTTTTGTTATTTTCGTTGCGGTAGGTTAGTTCCTTTATTTACTTCGTTATTAATATTGATTCAATCTAGTATAAAAATTTATGTGCAGTTTTTAAGTTGTGTGTATGACTCAACTATTTTAGTAAATAATGTTGAGCATTTCTTAAGTTCCGTCTGTGTGGGTAACATGTAATGTCTAGTGCAGCCAGTAAAGACATAGTAAAAAATACTAAGATGATATTTTCGAGACATTACTGCTGCTGATATAATAGAAATGGCCAAAATGTTGTTGATTAAAAATAGTTCAGTGAAATAGTTCTATAGTAAATCAAACTTTACATATCATTTTTACTTCTTTATCGGTTTATAGTTTTAGTAGAACTTGAGTATACTTTATTATTATTTTTCTACAGTCTTCACAGTTTCTCGCAAGTATTTTCCAGTGATTATTCTGATTTCATCAATTCAGCGGGATCATTGACACCCAATCTTCATTTTTCATCTTGATTTTAGAAGCACTTCCTACGCATTTTGATTCTTTGAGATTTGATTTGGATTTCCAGACTAGTACCTTGCAACAAAGTTAGAACTTTTGCATTTGTTTTTATGCGTCATTGTCCTGCTTTTGATAAATTTTCATTCCGCTGAGTATAGGCTACTGGTTTCACTCCGCTTCATGGTGCACCATTTGCATTCATATATAAGTATTTGGTGGATAATTGTCACAATTCAGTACGACACTTTAAGCAAATTATGATTTTGTTTTGCTTATTTAAGGGTTCCAACAACAGAAGAAGATATGTCACAAAGCTGCTCGTGGCGTATTTCTCACCCACTGTATCCTTATACTTTGAAAAGAAAGTGGACCGAAATGGGTTACAACAGCCCATTTGTTTTCACTTTTCTTTTGAAATTAATTTTTACTTATTTCAGTTTACGATTTATTTTTAACTACTTTTACTTAACTAACATATACCGCTTTGTGATCTATTGTAGGTAAACGATGCTTTAACAATGTTAAATGATTATAACGCTCGTTTGGCAGCTGAAATGGAGTCACGGGGCAAACTGGCCATAATGTTACGTAATTTTTATGTGGAACAAAAGGAATTATTGACACAAGCAGAAACTCGATATGAGGTTTGACATTGACATTTTCATATTTTTCAAGTTTCAAAATTTATTTTAAATTATTTTTCAGGAATATTCGAAAAAGTATGACAAAATGATTGGCGTACAAAAAGAAATCCAAGAACACATCTCCAATTTACCAGATATAGCACAGTTGAAAGACGTTACTAAATTATTGGCACCATTACCATCTGCAGGAGACCTCTTTAACACGCATTGAAAATAGATATTAAGATAGAATATTCTACAAAGAGTTTTTTTATATTTAATGAACGAGTTTCCCAAATTGTAAAATTTTATTTTAGATTATAAAAGAGTGTGCTTATTATATTTGTTTTTAATACTAAAGAAATTAAGAAGCTCATATATATATATGTTTTATTAGAATTTAAGTTATGTGCTTAAATCATTTGTCCAATGAAGAATAAGTTCAACCAAAGAAGCTTTATTTTATTTCTTCAACACTGGAATATAGTAAATATATTGATTGGTATCTCCAGTTGATTTAATGAATATTGTAATTTGCTTGACCATTCCATTTTTCTATAAAGTAAATAACATCTGCTATTTCACTGGATGGGGACATTTTAACTGCAACAGAAAATTTACTCCAAACATCGCGATTTGCTTGTCTAGTTGATGATGAAAAAGTTACAGGCTGACGCCCCCGTACAGGGTATGCACTTAATAAACAGACTACATCATCCTTTCCTAAACTTGCTTCATATAGTCCGCGGTCATCAATTGGTAATACCTAAAAGAGAATTACGTTAAAATATTTGGTTCCGAGACACTTTACTTAATTAGACCTGATCAACTTGTTGATCCATGCTAATAGCAAGAACCCACTCACGGATTTCTTCATGCAAATCTGTATTATTTTTAAGGTGTATTTCCTCTGGCAATGGAACTGAACTTGGAATGTCTGTTGATGCTAAGTCAGCATGATCTATAAGTCCTGAACCATCTTCAATAGCTTCACACACATCCAAGTAGTGGTTAAGCATAACAAATGCCTCTGCTTCGCGACCGGCACTACGCAAATCAATACCAGCTTCATAAAAAGCTTTATCGACTGGTATAATGTCTGAGTGCCTCAACAAAGCAATAGACAATCGTAGAGCTACTGCCTGCAATGATTGCACTTGTCTGCAAGCTGATCGCACTGCATAATAATGCGCTATTAGCAGAAATGAATCGATGCTTTCGACAATCGTATGTTGTGCATATTCCGAAGTTTTCAACGACTACTTGTGTGAGTGAGTGAATATAGTAAGTTATTGTTACGATGAAGAAGAGAATAAATTACCTGAAACAACTTATATAGAAAATCTCGTAGCTTTTTCCAGAGACCATTTGCAGCTTGATCTTCGCATAACGCAAAGCAATCCATGGACAATTTTTTGTACAGATTAAAATTTGCTTCGCTCGGAGGTGCTCCGTAATTCAAAAACAGATTAAGCGCAGACGAGCTGTCGTTATTATTTAAAAGTTGGGCGGCGTATAATGCAACGTATTTATGTAAAGCTTGTGAACTTATTTGCTTCGCACGATCGAGACAGCGTTGCCATTGATTCTGTTCAGCTAGCATGTCCAAAGCACTCATGATATCTAAAATGTGAAAGTTAATAATCCAATAAATCCAAATGAGGAAATCATTTACTCTCACCTATATCTGCAAGTTGTTCAATGTTGCCTTCATTCTTCAAACGCGACTTCTGCTGCTGTTCTACATAGGTCATTAATTCTGGATCAATTTCTTTTGCCAAATGTCTTGCTTTTGACCATTGTTCGGCTTTAATGAAAACATCTACTGCTTCTTTTGGCATATCTGCCGCCAAATAGAGCTGTGCCGCAGGCCCTATTTGTTTTGATTGGAAAAGCCGCGGTCCTAGTTGAGTTGCAATGCTTGTGGCATCTTTACCCTCTAAAAATTGATTGCATATCTCCGCGGCACTAAGTAAGGCGCGTTCTACGGTTGCAGCGTCAGCATTAGTGGAGTTTATCTGTAAAAGACACTCTGCAGATTTACGAAACTCTTCTCGTTTAGCAAATTCGGCAGCTTTTTGAAGATATGCTTTTGATTCATCGTTTTCATTTTTATTTGAATTAGTTTCGCGGGATTTTTCATGAGCTTGCAAACGCTTTATATCGTTCATTGCTGATGGATAATGCTCTTCAGCTATACGCATTGCTTCTTCAAACATGGACTCTTTTTTGTAGAAGGCCACTATAAGATCCGGTCGTTGAGCACGTATTAGTAGAGTTTCATACTCACTATAGTTATGTGTTTCTAAACAAGTATTCGCTTGTGCAATAAGTACTTCCGAAACTTCTTCTGGTAGGTAAATTTCAGCAACGTTCAGTGCAGCCTGCCAGTCGCCAGAATGTATGTGCATAAGTATGGCTTCTTTAGGTTTATTTGCCTTTATAAACTCAGTTTCAGCTTCTCCGAATTTTCCTTCATCTTCATAAGACATTGCAATTTTTAAATGTACTTCATCTGTTGGTTTGCCTGATAGTCGGCATAGATCCATAGCAAACTCAAACTGTCCAGAGTCACATGCAAAACTTACTGCAGTATCTAGTAGACCCAGTTTGTTTAGTAACCGCACAGCGCTTTCTACTGGCATTGATTTAGCCCACATGTACGCTACTTGGTTGCTGGCGCCTTCGGTACCTTTTTGTTTCGCAACACGATACCCATCCTCCCAACGTTCCGTAGAGCAATACATATGAACCGCAGATTTCCAATCCCCTGACGCTATGAAATGCACTTCAGCATTTTTGAATTTACCTTTTGATTCTAATTGTCTAGCTAAGTGCAGATGAGTACTATCGAGTAGATCATTGTGATATCGCTCCACAAGTCTTATCATGGAATCATATAGTTCCCGCCGCTTATACATCGCAATAGCAAGATCAGGCTCATTAACTGCCAGCAAAACTTTCTCAGCATCTCTATATTTTCCTGTATTTTGATAAAAAATAATTACATATTATATTTTTTATAGTTAGGTATACTAGTAATTAGCAATAAAAACTTCCTTTGTTACCTTGCTCTTCCAAGCTTGTAGCTAAATTCACAAATACATCGCGCATTTCATCCGATTTAAGATATTTTTCTCCAATGGAATATGCTCGTTCCCATTTACCATGACGATTAAGCAACTGAATTGCTTCCTTGAATAAGTTTGCTCGTACCAATAAGTCCTCCGCACCATTAATATCCCCCGAAAAAGCCAAATGTTTGGATAAGTCCAAAGCAAACCTTTGTATTTGTTCAGGTTCATCGAGTACTTTTGCTATTTGAACAGCCTTGCGCCATTGTTTCGCACCAACCGCTGATTCTAAAGCCTTTTGCGTAGCTCCTGCTTCAATATAGTGGTTGATTGAAGCATCAAGTTGCTTTCGTTGCACTAACCAATCACCCCATTCTTCTTCCAATATGGTAACATCATCCGGTGCAACCGTTCGAGCTAAATCTAATGCTCTGGCGTATGCACCACCTTTGCGATACAACTCCAAGGCAACATCTGACTGATTTAGCTTAAATGCAATATCACCTGCCATTTCGAAAAGTTCTTTGGGAGATACAATATTAAAAATTTGAAAAAAATTTCCTTTCTTGTGGCAATACTTACCACACTTGATAAGTCCATCTGTCACATTAACCATTAGATTTTCGTCTTCCATTAGCTGTGGAGTTTTCAGCGCTAACTTTGCTGCCCTGGCAGGTTTGTTTGCTTTAAGGAACAAGATCATCGCTTTTCTAGGTTCTCCTTGTTTTTCGAGTACATGGCCCGCTTTTTCTTCCTGCCCAGTCGAAAGTAAGAATGACATTTGATCTTCTTTAAGTTGTTGCAGATTAACGTAACCTCGTTTCTCTCCCAACCCAACTGCTTCATCCCACATGCGAAGCATTTTATACATTTCAATTGCAGCTTCAATGTGTCCCTGTTCCAAGTAAATGCGTTCTGCTGTACGTACGTCGGAATTTAGCAACGCTAACTTTGCGCGTACTTCTGGACACATAATGCCAGGTGTACCAGTACCTTCCTCAAATTTATCTGCTTCTTCTATAATTTGTTGCAGAAAAAAAGCTTTCGATACATTGGATAGAGCAGCATAACAGCGGTGAGCTACTCGTAAATTGCCATCTTCAAGTGCAATTACAGCTAAATTATGCCACATTGCCTTAGCGGAAGGTTTGTCACCCAAATGTTCTAAAAAATGAATAGCTCGACCAAAATCACTATCATTAAGGGCTGTACCGAACTCCACTAGCCCCTCGTCTAAGAAATACGTATGCTCTGTTGGTCCTTCTACTGAGCGAACCATTGTACGACCCTAAAAATGTATGCAAATTTATATATTATCAATATCCTGATTAAATCAATTCATACCCCTTCTCGTGTTACTTCAAGTGGATCACCACGTATAGGCATCAATGTTACATGTTCCGGTAAGTCGATATTGTACCAAATTGCGAGATTATTGTTTTGTGCGTGAGCCACGACTACGTCGCTCTGTGGTACCCATTGCACAAACGAGATGTTGCATAACAAGGTTTGTTTTTTTGCAGAGTAGATATCAAACAGAATCAATCTGCGGACAACAATGGATGTGAATAAAGAAAAAACTATATAGATCTTCAAATTGGGGACTTACTTGAATTTTTTGTCACGAAACAGAAGTTTGTGAGCTGTTTCGCTTAATTCGATCCAATCAATTTTAGTATCGTGGGTAACTTGACCAATAATCATTTGGGTCAATAGGTCCACGATACAAATTGTTTTGGCATCCAACAGAAAGGCGAGTTTCTTATTATCTCTTTAAATCGAAAAAAGTTTCATAAGTAAAAAAAATGTGCTTTTGTCAACCTTGTTTCTATTTACCTTGCATTGCCTCTTTCATTAACACGAACGGAAATTACATGTGGATTCACAAATTCTGTTCTCACTGATCCTAATATGTGGTTTGCTCCATATTCGACTAAACTCAACTCACCGACATTGAATATTAAGCAAACCGTTGGATTCTCGAAGTAGAATCTCTCGTGTCGTCCAGATCCAGTCCATTGTACTTCACTTACTAAATTGCGTGTCAAGTCACTTAAAATAAGAGAGTCCTCCGTTCGAGCTACTAAGTAATTATCTTTCCCCATAATGCGTACATCATCGATTTCCGATCCCAATTGTGACTCAATGGTCATTTGCTGGGTAGGGTCTTGTAAAGATTTGACTAAAAGTTGACTGGGGGCAACAAAGATCAGTTCAAACTTATCTTGCCAAATAGTGCGTTTCAAAACAGACTCGAACAATATTACAGCTCCCGTTACGGAAGCAACAGATAATCTAGAAGATAATATTATAAATATATATTTTATGAATAAATAATTATATGTACGGCTACCGTGCACCATCCTTTCGCCAAAGCATTGAGGATACGGTATAGAGGAAATTAATATCTTTGGTTGCACTTTCATTCCATGCCGCTAACCGCGGACTCCAAGTAAATATGCGAATTCGGTCAAAACTACCGAATGCTACAGCTTGTCCATTTGGGCTAGAAACGGCGACTGTAAATTCTCGCTCTTTTTCTGTGCGCGAGTAATCAAACGTACGCATCTGCCGACCCTGTTTTCGATTAAGATATATTAATTAATTATTTACATATTTATAAAAATTTGGACGTACCGCCGCATCGTAGAAAACTATGCGCTGATCACAACCGCCTGCACAAAATCCACCTTGAGGCCAAGCTAATGCAAATGGTGGCACTGGGTGTTGAATCAGCCGACCAGACGATTCGTTTGCATCATTTGTTATAAAATAACGAATAATCGTACCATCATTGTGTCCAGAAAGAAATCCAGTTCCTCTCGTGTTCGGAGCTAATGTTATACACATACTGTCGACACCATAAAGACTCTGGGATTTGTTGCTTTTGCAATGCAAAGCGCGAATTTTACCATCCTCAAGTCCTTGCAGGAAAACCACAGAAATACATCTCTTAGTAAAAAAGCTCAGATATTCACAGAACAAAAAATAATTAAAAAAAGGAGATATTTAGATAGCCATGAGCAAAATAGATGATGGGATAAGACAGTCAGTGTGATTAGTAATTTTCAAAACCGCATTTGTTTTCTGCAAAGATTTTTTATATCCCAATATTCCATCAAAAGCACTTTGGATGTATTTAAATATGGAAACTAAATCAGTAACAAGCAGGTAAATTGTCAGAGAGACTTGAGACCTGATTTAATATCCTCCGAAATGAAACAAAGGACTATATTTAAACAAATCTATCAAATCTAAAAATATTTTTATTTACTGAAATTGTATGAAGGCGTCCCAAAACTATGGATTTTTCAAAAAATAATTTGAAGAATGCATTATAAAAATAGATGGAAGTTATCGCTTGCGATTGAATGACGAACTTTGGACGGTTAAAAAAATTCTACCGCATTAAGAAAATCTTCGCTAATAAATATTGAATGCAATTAGCTAGAGTTACCTGCAATTATGGCTCCTGAAGATAGCCAAATTAGTGCTGTAACCGCACTACTTTGAGGAAACTTGTTGCAAATAACTTTTTTATCGGTCCACGTTTCTCCGAGTTTATAAACGTATACGATATTATCACTTTGCCCTACCGCCAACTTGGTTGAATCTGGGCTGAAGGCAACACCACGAATGACATATGAATTCTTTCCGTTAGCTGGATTCGATGGTTTGGTAGAAAACTTATCACGTCGCTCGCCACTGTCGTCAAATAGCAGAATGTAACGGTCAGCAGACGCTACGGCAAGCTTCTGATGGTTTGGGGACCAAGCCAAGCCAGCAATTCGATTTAATTGCTCCTTATTAGTTTTAAAAAAGTTACTTTTATTTAAAAGTAAATAAAAAAAAGCATACAAGCTCACCTGACCAGCCAGTAATGTTTTTAAATATTTCAACTGCATTTTATTATACTTTTTACTTTTATTTAAAATAGTTGCATTAAGTAGAGAAACTACACTTTTAGTGTCCTAGAATTTTAGAATAAAAGTTGTATGTTTTGGTAACATTTCATGTTTTCGGTTGCTATGGATGCGTCCGTTTAGTTTGGATTCCATAAATGTTATTACAGGTGTCCGCAGTAGCAACAGTCTATTCTACAAACGCTTTTAAAAATATGTGACTGCTTCTTAACTAAATTGCTGTTATTCTGCTATGTTAATTGCAGAACGTATTATGTTAAATATATTTAAATACGGTCTTCGCTGTATATTGTCCGAATTTACATTATGCATATATTGTCCGAATAATATTATATGTTGAATACTCGTATGTGTTGTATACTCGTATGTGTTGTATATTATACATATTCTATATATATATATATACATATATATATTAAATAAACTGCTGTCTTTACATGTTAAGTTTAGGAAAAGTGTTGCAAAAAATATGTCAACACACATGCTGTATATGTTAAGGGCATGTATCTAGAAGGGATGTATCTAATCAAAGTAATATTTCAATGGGAACATATTATGCTATGTATATGTTACAGGCATGTGTCTAAAACGGATGTATCAAGTTCAAAAAACATTTCAGTGGAAACAATTTATGTTATGTATATGTTAAAGGCATGTATCTAGAAGGAATGTATCAAGTCAAAAAAACATTTCGATGGAAACATGTTATGTTATGCTATGCATATGTTAAAGGCATGTATCTAGAAGGAATGTATCAAGTCAAAGAAATATTTCGATAGGAACATGTTATGTGTATATAATGTTGTCTCTGTGGAAATATTATCTTTTCAGAATAGTAGACCGTATTGTAATACGGTCTTTGGTATTAGTAGTTCTATGTTCTTGTTTGTAAGCTTTTTAACAGAATCACATTATATATCCTTGAAATTCTGTTTTTGACATTTTATGGGTTTAAGAAATGGGAGAAATTTATTGTATAACAGAAATAAGAAGCGAGCAGTTGAAATACTGTTGTAACTTCATTTTATTAGATATAAAGTTTGTCTTGTATCTAAACCTTAAGGCAGAGATAACTATATTGCGTTGATATCTGAAGCAAGGATGAATATTTCAGCGAAATGTAACAATAGAATTTTTTAAAAGCTCTACTTTTGCGTACGCAAAAGAGCTTTTTGCTATTCTTGTATATTTTCACTTTTTTAACTTTTATACCTTAAGGGACCGAAAAACGAATACTTTCAAAAAATTTCCCTTTAACTTGCTATTGTCATACCTAACCAGTAGCCGTTTCTGTTATACGTCTAAATTTAATAAATGCAATGCAAATTACAATAAAATAAATGGACTTTACTTAAGGGTATGTATAACATCTAATGAATAACCTGCGTGGTTAGGTTATTCCCTAGTATAAATCATAGGGAATAAAATATGAAAACAGTCGATTAAAAGGGTAAAGGAGTTTCAAAAAAACATGAAGATTGTGCTATCAGTCAGTAAGATCCCTGATAACATATTTTGAGATTGCAATGGCATGTTTCTAATCGGTAACTTTCAGAGTCTCACATTTTTTGATAAATTCAATATCTTAATTGATAAAAAACATTCTTTCGTAAAAAAAAAGTTTTGTTTTATCAAAACAATGTACCGGCTTAAACTCCAACAGTCACCATGGCAAAAATTCTTGAAGTCGGTTTTTAATTGATAGACAGACCCTGATTTACTTGATTTATATTTTAGTAAATATTTCTTGTTTTGAAACATGAGTCTTTGGTTTGGAGGATAACAATTCTAGTCAAATGGCAGGGTGATAACTATTGTAAATGGATATTTTCTAGACTTCAGCACAATGCATAATTCTAAGGAGTTTTAGTAGTTAGATTGTCTTTTTTCTCTGTTAGCTGACCCTTTCTTAATTTAATTTTTTGAATGATTCGCATTTTTAGTGTAGTTAGATGGTAGTTTGGCTATAGGTAGGTTTAATGTATATGTTTGAGCTAAGTTAAGCACTGATTGCATGTATGAGTTAATGAGTTATGAGGGTTGACTCTCTAATTGACATGCATTCAAATTGAAATTAACTTAACTTTAAAATAATAAATACTTAAACGTATTGGACTTTAAATGAATTCACTTTTGGCACATTGAATATCATCAATATAATCATGTAGTAAATCCCAGGTTAGTGTTGTAGTCTATTGGTTTCTTGTAAGCAGTGGGGCTTCGACAAGAGTCGTGAAAGACATTTTGCCAGCGTTGATTATTGAACATGAGGGGTAGAAGTTTCATTACTTACCTTACTTACTTCTCCTACTCCGAAATTATTCAGTATGTGAGCTTTTGACCACTTTTCTCCTGTTCGGCATATCTGCAAAGAAACGACTGGTTTTGCGAGGAGTTGTTCGGCTATAAACTGACAACACTCGGCAGTTGTTAAACGCCTCCCGCTTCGTCTACAACGCCATCGTAGCTTAACGGACAATTCTATTTTAGCTGTTGAGATTTTTGCGATGATGTGAGCATCGCGTTTCGTCCATTAGTCTACACGTTTATAAAAATTACGAAATCTACCAAAAAATATTAAGTACATATATTTTATTTGTTTTTTTTTTAATTGCTTTACGATTTTCAAGACGATGAGCTTGTTTTCCTGCTTAAGTGATAACTGAAGTACAAGTTTATATTTTCTTAATTGCTTTAAGTTAAATTTTAAGGCTAAGTCTCTTTTTACAATTACAAGAACAGATAAAATCTTGAAGAAAACGGTTTCGTAGGCTTTGCTCCAAATTTATCCAAATTATGTGACGACAGAAAAAGTTTTTAATTTATAAAAAATTTCAATTTAAGGAAGACATTTTCTTGATAATATTTCTATATCAATCTTTGATATCAAATAAATATAAATATTTATATTGCATATTGATAAGAAATGTTCTCTAATCTAAAATTATATATAAATAGCAATGTATTTCCGAGATATTGACTAACCTAAATATCCTTAAATTCCATTGTTTAAAAAAATATTTTTAATTATTGTTTGTTTTAATTTATTTTTCCTGATTTTGCCGGCTTAGATTATTTGTAAGAAAATGGTGTAAACCCCATTAAATCTTCCTTACTGAGCGACGGTAGGATTAACTCTTTCTTGAGCTAGACATTAAAACCCTAAAGCCATTAAAAAGTCTACTGTATTAATTATGAAGCAGAGACTTTTCTATAATGAGACTGAACACATAAGAAAAATATTCTTAAAATATAGCAATACTCCATTGTTTTCAAAAATAATACAAAACAGAAATATTGTTGGAAAGGAATTTTTTAATTATAATCTGGTAGATAATTTCATGCCATTTATATTTTGAATATGATTTGATCAGTCCAATTCTTAACTTTTTTACAATATATATGGCGGTAATAATGGCATGAATATTGGCATTCAATGCTTCAAGAGCTGCTGTTTTGTCGGCATGAACCAAAGACTTAATATAGCCCCATAAAAAGTAATCGAGACGGATAAAATCGCACGAACGAGGTTGCCAGGTAACAGGACCACTTCTGGAAATAAAGTTGTTACCAAATTGATTTCGCAATAAATCGATTGTTAAGGGTGCTGTATAAAAAATTGCACCGTTTTGTGGGTACCAAGTGTCATCGATGTTTAACTGAATAATTTTTAAAAACAAAAATTCAGACAGCATGGTTTGATACCGCTAGCCATTCGCGGTATCGGCAGCTCCTTCTTCATTTCGAAAGATAGGTATAACGACGGAACAGTCAATTTTAATGGATGTAATTGTGATTCGTTAACGGCTTGAGGATTATCTTCCCTTCATAAAATGGACGAATTACTCTATAAACTTCTCGAATAGATTTATTTTTTTTCAAAGTAAATTTTCACAATTTAGAAGCGTTATTCTAGCGTTAAACGATTTATAATGAATAGTTAACACAGTTTGACATTCTTAGCTGTTGAACGATTGTTATCGATATCGATAAATCTTATACAGATAAAAAACACCCTATATTATGGCGAAATAAAACAAATTTTTGATGGTAACTTTTTACTGCTCTTACAATTAAAGGTAGAAGATGATTAATAATTTTCAGTATTTTTTCAGTCATTCAATAAAAATTGTTCTATCAAGCAAGCAAGCAGCTCTTAAGTTGTTGAGTTGAATTCGAATTATATTTAGACCGATTTTTGGTTTCTACATATCTCTGAAGATGATATGTTCAACATTTTTCTTCTCAAAATACATAAATGAGATCTAGAGCAGTATCTTTCCATTCTATCTATCCAGCTATCAATAAGATAAGTAAAGCAAATACTGATATATTAGATATCAGTAGGTAGATAGGTAGATTTCGGGTCTTACTGAGATTGATTGGTAATCTGAACAAGCTAGTCGCTTACTAATATATCTCTGGCCTAAAATACACCACAAATAAAGAAGTTATCATAAGGTTAGCCCAGACTAGTGTCAATCTAGGTACTTACAAATCTTACTGCATGTCAAGTTGATGGTGTAGAGTAAATTTATTTAATTTTTAATAGATTTCCATAGAAATGCTCAAATGGGTACAGCTTATTAAGATTAATGAATTTTGTTATAGAAATTTTATGGCTTATTAGTTCTAAGTGGAGAAGTTGCTGCAAATCTATTTCTGAAAGATACCTGGTTCCAAGTCAACTTGAGTCCCAATTTCTTTCGTTATTATTGATTCTTTATTATTTGTGGTTGGTATTCAAATTATTTAATATAAAAGTACCATTATTCTTCAATTTTCTTCTAAACGTATAAAAGATAATTTTACTTTTGTACTTATGACTAGGTACTTATTTCATTATTGCAAATAAGTTTAAGGTATTAGTTAAAGTTTTTGTTGCAGGTATATTCGCAAAAAAAATAAGCAATATATCTAAAGTAACTATTTGGATTTTGAGTAATTTTGTGAAATTAATATAATAGAATTATTTCTGAATTATTGAGTAATTTAGCGCCTTTAATGAATCTACCGCAAAGTACATATGACCCAGTTTAAATGCATATTTTCGCAGATTAAAAGAGTTCAGTAGCACCCAGTCCATAGAGGGCTGTAAAGGACGTTTGTGCGTGACTATTATAACGTAAACCATTACAACGTAAATCATCGCAGCATCAGGAGCGGCAGCTAGACCAAAGGCAAAACTCATAATCAACACAGAATTAAACAGCATTTAGCGTGCATTGGTGCAGCTAAGAGCAAGGGGAAATCAAATGCAAATGTAAATGGAAATCAAATGCAAAAGAGGAGAGCACACATCCTTTGAAAGCCGTTTGCTGCGTGAACCATTTATAGTTTTCAATTTTCATTTTTAAATTTTACGCAGTTAAATGAAGTTTGGATTTAGTGGCTGCAAAGTGAAGGCATTAGTAATAAATGTTCATAGTCACGAACTGGAAAGTAGTGGAGCAGGCTGATAGAATACTTCTGCCACAGTCCGCAATCACAGTTTCGGTCAACTTGGTTTTGTATTACCAATGCTGATGGCTATTGTGACTTTGGTTGAGACTCTTTTGACGGAAATCACTATGGAATCACAATGTTTTCAAATGCAGATACGATAATTAAGTTGCTCTATTGTCAAAATCCAATGTAACTAAAATTCGTTAAAGGAGCGAAATTAATTTTTCATACAAAAATAGTTTTTTTCTACTTAGTTAACAATAACATAGCAGTTTGTAAAGTGCATTGACGATTCCAATGACTTCATCAGTGCGTCTCGATATTAAGTGGTTCTGTGTTTAATCTGAAAACTAAGCATAAATATCCTCTTATTCTAATTCATATTTAAGTTTTATTTTTTTATATAGCTCGAGGGTTCTTCTTTCCTACTACAGATGATAAAATATATCTGTATGGACATAATATGTTCATACACAACAATATATTCCATAAATAGAATTCTTTCATATCTTCATATCTATCTTCTTTGAACTATAATATTACATCTTAATACGTGATATCGACTCAGGACTTAAATTGGTCAAAGAGGATGCGTTAGGTTAGCCTAGGTTAATTGGCACGGTTATATCTTCGACACAATTAGACTATATGCTGCCTCATTATGGTACCATATATAATACAACTTTTTAGTTATTCTATATTTTGAAAACCATATTGCGGTAAATGTGTCCTAGACATGTAATGCGGTTACAATGCTGCTTGCTATCTCATTTAAGGAACTTGTTGCAACTGAGGACACATCTCAATGTTATATTAATATTATTTGTTATGATCCCATTATCTTAATTGTCGGAACAACAAATCCAGCGATTTATTCTGGCATATGCATTAAGCTTATTTCAATCTGTTTGTTGTGGTTATTCAATCAGACTCCAGACCCCAATGTGTTACGAGTACTTAAGATTAGGTAAGGTTAGAATGAAAAACTAAAAATATTAAGATCTTCATGATTCGGTTCATAGAAACTTATTATAATACTAATATTTATATTATAACACTAATACTATATATACTTGTATCAATTGAAGATTAAGAGATCCTTTCGGGATTTTAATAAATTTCAACAATTTTTTCAAATTGGGTTTATTTAGTGAACTAAACCTTTTAAGGAAGAAATACTGTAGAAGACAAAGCTCTAATAGCTTTCGCAACACATCGATAGAGCAGACATGAACAACTTTATCATTTTTATTTCTATTGTGCTATTGAATGTGAATAAAGGGTAAACCTGACTTTTTAGAGTTAATTATTTTTTTTAGAGTCTATAACTATTTCGGCTTCCTCGCGAATGAGATTATCTTATAACAAGGTCGTTTTTAACAGAAGCCAGCTCTTATACAGGATTATTAATGATTTGTTTTTCACAATCATCACGCAAATATTTAAAATAGGTGGATTTAAATATTAAACTGAGTTAGACAGCTTGTAGGAGAGTAACAGTACCTGGATTACCGTCTGGTACCCCGCCTGGATTATTTATCAATTTATGTGACTATTAAGGAAAGAAAAATTATAAACTCAAGTTACCCCAAGTAAATAAATTAATTAAAAATTTTGTTCAATTGCAAGCCAAATACGAACCTATACCGCTTGAAAATACTCATCCCCATTTGGGATGATTTGGTGTGGAAGCAATAAACTAAGTAAGCAACTCAATTCGTAAAAAATATATTAAAAATTTGTGTGTATCTGAACCTTAATAAAAAAGACAAAAATAAAAAATTTTGGTGGTTATGCAATCATGAAATGTGCTTGAAAGCATTAAAGTTTCGTCCTTATGCTTTTATGACGACACATGTTACGATTTGGCGGTATAAAACGAATAAAACAAAATCAAGCACACATTTTAACACTTCTGACATCAGTTGATACATGTGATTTGGTACGGTTATATTGGCAAGATACATTGGCACTGACATCATCATAAGAAGCTCTGTGGAATATGCAATTTTACATACGAAATCACCAACTCCGACCCGCCACTCACTCTTGGAGCAAAATTGACTTCTTGGATTGTTTGTACCCGTATGTCTGCTAAATTTTGTAATTTTATGAATTTTATTTCTGTCTTTACTTTCATCACTGTGTCATACATTTTGTAATCCAACACAACCTCAGTTCTCAGTAGTACTCAGTTCTTCAATATAGTCAGAAATGAATCATAAATATTATTACAGATGAACGAGGATACGGTTTCGCGTATGAATATAAGATTACATGCTCACGCAGATACTGAACTGTATCGAGTGGAAATCAAAATGAAAACAGTGAAAGGATAAAGGATACCTGGCGCATTCAGCGGCTCAAAAAATATATGATTTGTGGCAATAAGCGATGAATTTGCGGGCGATATTGTTTCAACGTGGTTTAACATTTTATAGTTGCCACTAAAGTATCTTATTTGACACTGAATTTATTGCTTCACTAAACTACATTTGTTTAAATTTGAATATTTTAAATTCATCCCAATATTGTCCATTAGAGCGAAATATGAAAATTAATGGAGGACATTTACAAACTAAATAAATTGCGATAGATGTATGCTTATTTTCAAAGCAAACCGAGTTGGGGAAAAGAGAACAATCTATATAAAAGTGAATTTAGTTTAGCCCAGTTGGAATAAATGACGCTCTAACCAATTATACAGAAAATGTAGGTCTGCTGCTTTTGAAATGGTTGGAATAATAATTGATCACCGTTTGATGATATTTTAATTGTGTTCTATTTGACTCTGAGCTACAGATATCATATCATATAATTCTGTAGCATATATGCTGATAGCACGATAAGTAAAACTCGAGCGCTGGTACGAAAATTCACAAACTGTTATCTAAGCTCTGGTTAGCTACATTAGATCTTAAGTGCAGTTAATATAAAGAGTGTAAGATCATACTTAAGCGATTTGCAAAGTATATTAGATTGTTATAGTAGTCAAAAAGAAACAGAAGAATTCGAGTGTTTTGAAGAAAAGTTCTTCGCAGTTGTATTAATTATTACCGTTGACCAAATGTTAAGCATTGTCCTATCTCTATTTTATATGAAACCACCGAAGTCACTTGCTAAACAAGTATAAGTTTGCTTATACTTTGCTATATCTTTCATTGATATATTTCACTATTTATCAAAGACCTTCTTCTCAAGATTGTTTTGAGTCTTGTACTCTTCTCTGACTTTTTTTATGCGTGAAGGTATAAGCATCTTAAAGATCCGAGTGTTTATTTTGAAGAGACCTGATACAACTCCCCTATAATTTTCTCTATAACTAAGATCATTGCAATCGTCAACGTAAAATCTATATTTAGTTCAAATATGCCAGTTTTTGACCCAACCTTACGAAACGAATGTTTGTCCCATTTTTTCTTCTAGCAAACCTTTTAGTGGTTGGGATACGCGTTTTCTTTGGCCATTCCTATTAAATGCGATTTGAGGGAGTTCAAGTCTCAAAATGGGGCTCTTGATTGCACATAAAACATTCAACAAAGTTATTATAGCAGTCCAAAGTTAGTACTCAGCTTTTGGGTTTTGTCATCAATCGGATTACAGCCGCAGTTACCATTCAAAGCAATTCCTTTAGTAATAGTTACTATATCTGCTCTACTGGGATCCATTTCCCTAAGTATCTATCTATCTAAAGTAAGAGTAAGATTTTTGTCATGTTTGACTTACATTCTAATATTTTTGTATTAAAATTTGCGTTTTTATAACATAACTGTAAGGTTTAAAAATTTGAATATAAAACAAACAAAAGACCAATTTTTAGTAAATATTTCTCGAAGTGAGTTTTTATTGACTTTGGAATTATAAAGGCAGATAAATAAAGAAGCAATAAAAATATACAAATCAAAATTGTAGCTTCGGCGGAAGGATTAAACCAATAGATCCCATAAAAGGAATTTGTAAAGCAGACAAAAAGATTAAATTGCGCAGAAAAAGGATAACAGCCAGAAAAAGAAAATCGAATTGAATATAAATATAAAAGTTAGTCAATTTATCCGTAGAATATTTCGCAATATTTCGCAAATAAAGTAGCCGCAGGAAGTGGCAGAAAATACGGCAATAAATTGAAAAACATCTAAACTTCCTCCTACGTAAAAAACAAAAAACAAAAATAAAATATTGTTTTTGTTAAAACGAAAGCCTACATCGAGTTTTGATAGAAGGAAAACTTAAATATTTTAAAATTCAACTTCATTTCATTTAAGAATAATTTAAATATTGAACAAAAACTGCATAAATCACACACACTTAAAGAGAACTTATATTCGCTAAGTCGGGCGATCAACGTGGTAAGCTCCTTATCAACAGTGCATTAGAGTGCGATTCAGGAGTCAAAGGAAATAACGGTCTCAGTATGCTCCGGGTGTACGTTCAATCTGCATCCTTCATGACTTTACTTATGTAAGTTCAAGGCAAATAAACTCACAAATGGTAGAAATACGTTCCTACGGTTCGGAAAATATTTCAATTTAATTGCATCACTGAAATGTAGTTGCAGAAATGCATTTCGAAGTAAAGATACGAGATACAATTTGTGCATGTGTTTGAAGTTAAACGCCTTTGACAGTTTTTACTGCTTGTGGGTTCTTTGGAATGAGTGAATGAGTTATCGACAGGAAAAGTGTGTCTTTATTTCTAGGAGTTTCTGTCGTTGTAACATGACAGTTCAAAGGGTATTCTGATTGATTGCTAAACCGATCATGGATCTGGCACACTTTATATATCGAAATATCTACTGGATTTTTTTTTATTTGTACATATACAAGGTCTTTGCTTTCAAAAAATTTCAAAAGAATTTCTGGTTATAAATTCTTAATCAAGGATACAAGAAGTATCATATGTGAAAGGGTAAATTCATATCACAACACCTCCAGTATTATGATAAAACCCATCAGTTTCCTATTCGAAATACTGTTAATGGATAATGGATATTTGAATTATTTATTTGGCAAGGAAATCCCTGACGACATCGGTATCATTGGGTATAGTAAACATGACCTTAATGTTACCTTTGTTGTTGTCGAAATGGAATTTACTAAAACGAGTTTGAAAGAGATGAATGTCGGATATTGGAAAAAATAAGCATTGCTTGAACGTTATGCTGATTACTAGCGAATATATTCAAACCTGTTAAGGATTTCATCTATCAATCGTAACAAACAACAACGATTTCAGCCTGGAGATTAAACTATAAGTTGACGTTGCTTATGTGTACCACTATGGGTTCAGTAGAACTCTCTCTCGACGGATGCACTTATCTCTGTAGCTCGCTTACCCTGCCTTTCGCTTTGTATGGCGTAGAACTATTAAACATATTTTATAATGATGAAGTTTCTCTTGAAGGATTCGGGATTAACATTGTTGGTCCTCTTTGAGTTGACAACGATTACCGCAACCGAATAAAGCATATGTTATATGAGTTTAATCATGACATGAACATTGTTCAGCGAATTAATATCCTGCGAATCCACTGGTTTTGTCATATCGTGAGGATGAATGACGATGTTTCTGCGAAAAATGTATTTAAAGCAACAGTTAAATGAAGAAGACGTAAATGAAGTCTCCGGTAGAGTGATCAAGTTGAGGAATAACTAGCTGCTTGCTGTAGGTTACTGGAAAAGGTGCCCACGCAGTAGAGGCATGTCTGAAAGTTGATTGCAGCAAGTAAATCCTTTTCGACCAATAAATTGCTTCTTGAACGTAGGGTCTTTCAAAATGATATAGTCTGTACATGAAATACTTATTTATTCATTTAGTTTTCGTGTTGACTTAATATCTAGTCTATTATCTAGTATATTCTAATAATAGAACTTACTATTTAGTCAATATCTGAAAATTGATTTAGTTTAGGTATCCTTCTTCGTAGCATTGTTTAGAATTCAGTACAAATATAATAGATACTTATTTGGGAATCATTTACTTCAAGAATAGTAACATACGAGTACTAATCAATATATTGGATTTATATAAAAGTTTGATTAGATCATTAGAGTTTGTTTCATAAAAAGGCTTTCAGAACCTGATTCTGGTATCTGTTTTCAAAACAGATAACTATAACTTGTTTATGTCTTATCGAACATATTTTATTTATATTATTTTGCTATTTTGTTCGCATTGAAATCTTTGTATATAATGTGAATTTTCTAAATTGCTGCTTTATCTTATCTCGATGAAAAGCCACAAAATTTTATATGTGACTACATGAGATTATTCTATAAAAGAATAGGACACAAGTCATCAATTTGAAATCAGAAACAAATATGCTTCAAACATATTTGGGATTGCATTCCAAAGCCCTTTGTACTTATAATGAGTCATTTTTTCAATAGATTTCGATTTTGTATCTCGTTCGATTACGATTTAGAGAGGAAATGACAGTAATGAATTTGGGAAAAAAAGCACTATTTAAACACGAATTTCCTATTGTTCACGTTGGTCCACCAGATAAATTGACAGAGCTAACAGCAAATGGGCAGACAGCCGTGCGGACGGACTCAGATTGGCAAATATGTGGATTCACGTGTTTACACGCCAACGGCAATCAATCGAATTCTGCAATTCACGTTCGAGTATTTGCGTTCCTGCTTCGCATCTGAGCATTTGCCACTTTACACGTGTGCAGATGCTTGGGAAGGATGCCTTTCGCTTATGTGGGAGTAAAGTAACGTATTCAATTATTGTTGATTGAGCGTTCTGTACCTGCACAAGTGCATGCAAATTTAGATCCGTTATAATAATTGATTTTTTAGACTTCGTTGAAGCTTTTTGTTTTGAACTCAGAATGCAGAACAGAAATTTGATTTCATGTAAACAAAGCTTCAATTTAAGTAACAATCAACATTTATTTTATATGGAAATTAAATTGCCTTTATTGCTTAAAATACGGAGCAGATTACGAAATTCAAAGAGAGTTTTTATAGTATTTAAACCCAACAATGTAAATTAAAAAACTAAACAAAAACGAATCAGTTTATATCTCATCAGAAAAATCGCCAGGAAATATTCTAGTGAAGTGTGATGAGATACTACTCGTATTATAACACAGACAAGTAACCAGGTGAAAGGGATAAGATCTCAGGAGACCCCTCCTAATTGGAG